GTGAAATAAGTTACCTGGAGTATGGAAGGCGAGGACATGAAATGAAGGGGTCTACAAACATTACATTGGTGACATACTGAGATAGTCACAGGCACGCGCTTATTGCCCGCGCTCCATCCAGTTGCCGAGGGGTTGCGCAATCAGAGGGGAGGCTGAGCGCGTCGCTGCCTCACCTCTCGTCTCTTTCTGTATTTGCAGCGGAGCTCCGCAAATTTGGCGATTCTGACGATAAAAATTATTGTAATCGTACAGAAATTACATTTATAACACAGATCAGTGGAAAAGTCTTCATATTTATTTGATTATTCTTTTTCTTTACTTTTCGTAACAGCTATTTTCATTGGAGTATGGCAGGTGAGGCTCTGCCTCCCCTGACCGCACGTCCCTGGTGTAAACGCTGTTTCCCCTTTTTGCTTGAATGCTTTCCTCCCAGTACCGGATTAAACTCGTGCGGGGCCTGAGGCATATGTCATGAAGGGGTACCTAAATTTTTTTAAAAAAACACGTAAATATTAAAACACAATTTTTTTTTACTTGCATAGTAAAGTAATTGTATTTTTTGCATGTGCTATACAGCCAGATAATGCGACAAATCGTTAACCCTAAACAAGCACACGGTCGTTCACAAAAGTTGAAGGCGGTATAGTACTATAGTAATAGAGCAAGAGCAGAATCACTGAACCGGAATTGATAGCCTGAAAGTATTTAGCGCGGGGCCTTTGAAAGTGCGGGGCCCGTAGCTACTACGGAGCTCCGCAAATTTGGCGATTTTGACGATAAAAATGATTGGAATCGTACAGAAATTACATTTATAACACAGATCAGTGGAAAAATCTTCATATTTATTTGATTATTCTTTTCCTTTACTTTTCGTAACAGCTATTTTCATTGGAGTGTTGTAGCTACTACATATGTAGTAGCTACATGTGTAGTAGCTACATGTGTAGTAGCTACTACATATGTAGATACTACACATGTAGTAGCTACTACACGTGTAGTAGCTACTACACGTGTAGTTGTAGTAGCTACTACACGTGTAGTAGCTACTACATATGTAGTAGCTACTACACGTGTATCTACTACACGTGTATCTACTACACAGATACATGTGTAGTAGCTACATGTGTAGTAGATACACGTGTAGTAGCTACACGTGTAGTAGCTACTACATATGTAGTAGCTACAACACGTGTAGTAGCTACTACACGTATAGTAGCTACATGTGTAGTATCTACATATGTAGCAGCTACTACACGTGTAGCAGCTACTACACGTGTAGCAGCTACTACACGTGTAGCAGCTACTACACGTGTAGCAGCTACTACACGTGTAGCAGCTACTACACATGTAGCTGCTACACATGTAGCTACTACACGTGTAGCTACTACACGTGTAGCTACTTTTGCTACGAGGGTAATCCGTCAGTGCGTCCTCCTGGCCGCCGGGCTCGCGACGCAGCACGTGCACTCCCCGGCCGCTCCGCTGCCGCTCCCCCCACACCTGGCACGGTTCGCTCGCTCTACCCCACCCCACCCTCCTCGAAGCTTTACCAAAAAAGGAGAAATGCAAACTCGGCTGCATTTAAAGGCCACCAATGCAGTGTTTTTTTGTTGTTTTGTTGTATATAATCAAAGTCCAATTGACGCCAGGGGCGTGCGGCGTGCCGAGATGGTTGGGGAATGAGCGGATGGTGGCGATGTGATTGGCCGATGTGCTTATTTAATCGAGACAATTGTTTTTTTTGTTGTTTAACACGTAGGAGCCTTTCGCGACCAATATCATCCATAATAGAGGTTTTTTTGGGGGGTTAGATCGCGTAAGTATATAAATGTGTCGTTAAACCCGCCACCACCCGACACAGCCATGCAGTAAGGGTTGGCACGTAAACAGAACGTGGCCAATTCGTCACCAGTACAGCACTAACCGGTGTGTTGGAGAACCGTGCCACAACATTTACTCGTGACGCATTGGCAACGTTCTACTTACGTGACAACCCGTACTAGTTGGCTGTGTCGGGTGGTGGCGGGTTTAACGACACATTTATATATTTACGCGATCTAACCCAAAAAAAACCCCTCTATTATAAAGGTCCCCGTGCAGGATTATCTTAGTAGCAAAAGTAGCTCCATGTGGAGTAGCTACAGAAGTAGTAGCTACGGGCCCCGCACTTTCAAAGGCCCCACGCTTTAAAGCTATCAATTCCGGTTCAGTGGTTTGCTCTATTACTACAGTACTAGCCTGCCTTCAACTTTTATGAACGACTGCGTGTTTAATGTTAGCGATTTGTCGTATCATCTGGCTGTATAGCAAATGCAAGTTTAAAATTAGCGTTTTAATATTGACGTGTTTTTATTTTATTTAGAGCCCCTTTATAGCATGTGCTACAGGCCCCGCACGAGCTTCATCCGGCACTGCTTACACCGCCTGCATCAACCCCGCGCTGACACGCAGAACGTGGCACCGCGACCCCACCTTCGGCGTAGATGGGTGGATGGGCGAGGCCCGAATCTTGCATTGGTTGTGAAATGCGTGTTTGAGAACAAAGCCAACGATCCCCCGTGTAGCCTGTAACAGGCTGTTGGGGCAAGTGCTGTTAGCGAGCACCTATGAAGGCCGGCACGGCATACGACGGGGGTGGGTGGCCGGCACCACGCCCGGACGCCTTTGTCTCCCCAGTGGTGATGTTTACACGCCGCACCAGGTACTCGTTTGAGGCCGAGTCGACCGAGGGGAGGCCCAGGAATGGTTTAAAAAATCGTCACAGGAGTTGGCCGTGAGCGGGGAATCGAACTCGGGTGGCCGGATTAGTAGCGCTGCGCACTAACCGCAATGCTCCCCACCCTTACTCACCCAACCACCCACACACCCAGCCACTCACTCACACATCCACCCACCCACCCACTCACCCACCCAACCACCCACCCAGCCACTCACTCACCCACCCAACCACCCACTCAACCACTCACTCACCCACCCACTCACCAATCCACCCACCCACTCACTCACCCACCCACTACCGTCCCGGTGTGAGTGAATGATTTTTGCGAGGTTTCGTTGCAACTAGGAGGCAAGTAGGTTAGTGGCGAAGCTGCATGGAGCTTTGAGTGTTGTCTCTATCTCAGCACTTGCCCCGACAAGAGTTGAGGTAGAGACCTCTGGGTTCCCCGTTTTTTTTAAACCACAATTACATAGGACTACTACTACAGTCCATAATCTGTCGTTAAACCCGCCACCACCCGACACAGCCAATTAGCAAGGTTTGTCACGTAAAAAAAGAAAGTGCCAATTCGTTACTAGTACAGCACATCGGTGTGTTGGAGAGTAAACCCACCACGACATTTACAGTTTGGGTACCGCGCCGTTTCGCCAATAATTACAACAGCAACCAACATCATCAGGCGACAGCCAGAGTTGTGGAGAAATCCTCCTCCTGGTTCGGTCTTAAATAGACGGGGGGGGGGGGGGGGTAAATGCGATGTCGTCACTTGTGAGCCAATCAGGTGCGAAGGGCAGAGGGGCCTTCGCACCTGATTGGCTCACTGCTACTGCACGTGGCTTCTCGCTGGTTGTGCTGTGACAGCTCCTCCGGTGAGTTTGCAGTTTGTACCACGTGTTGTTTGGGACGATGTCCACCTCGAATTTAAATAAAAAATGTTGTTTTACTTTACCAGCTAAGGGCCCACTGAGCTCTCTCTTTGTCAGAAGCGATCTGCCCATCACAAATAATAATAGCAAAACGAAGCGGCTTATCATTATGCATAACTAATTTATTACAAGCCAAGTACTCTTAAAGCACGTTGACTCTACAATGTGGAGGGGAAAAATCGGAGGACCCGGAGAAAAATCCACGCGACCACGGGGAGAACACGCAAACTTCAAATATACAGCAGGCATCGTCAGAGTCGGGATTGAACCCACGGCTTCCTGCATACCAGGCGAGGTAGTTAACATCTCGCCACCGTGAAAATGTCGGACGACGTGCCAAACAACGCGCCGTACGACCCAGTACTTAAGTGGGAACTGGTCAAATATCTCAGGGACGAGACCATGACCCAATTGGGAGCACTGAGACTCAGTAAAGACTCTCATGGGTAGATTTGAAAAGGTTAAAGTTATTCCCCCCGGTTTTACGCGATCCGTGTCGTCTGACGGAACTCTTTCGCAGAATCCATCCGGAATTCTCGGCGCTTCGTGCATTTTTTGGACGGCTCGCGGAAGCGGATATCGCAGAGCCACTTCTGAGATCCCTTCAAGTGACCTCTCGTCCAACGCACATTAAGGGGGCAGCACCCTTCCCGCTGGGCCCGCCACGGAGAGTGTTGCTCGTCGCACGGCAGCAGAGCTGGAATTTAGCCGTGGGGTTTTGTCTTGCTGATGACCGAGTGGCAGTCGAAAAGTTGTAACGCATCCCAAGCGGGGGACGCCCATCCGCGGAGATGAAGCGATGAAGCCGTGTGCTCGTGTGCTGGTTGGATTGTCGTTTCGTACGATCATCAGAAATCGCGAGCAGCTTGCGGAAGCCTTAATCCAGCAGTGGATTGATCATGATTTACTCGCCACCACCACCGCGATGAGGATGTACGTGTACGTACGTTGAACTTCTTTCGCACCGTATGTCGCCAACCGTGCTAATCGGAGGTTGTGGGGGAAATGACGATGGTGGATAAACACGCGGCGTGAGCAGGGTTCTGAATGAGTCGCAGAGTGCACTCTGGACCGGTTTCGACTCTCCGCGCGTCATCAGTAGGGTACAGCCCCGTGGGCAAACGCTGCCGGGATGAACCTCGTGCGGGAGAGTTGGGCGGTGGCGAGGGTCAGGCGAGTCGAACGAGTGGCGAGCGGTGAACGTCGCGCGCGTGACGACGTGCGGGTGAGGGTCCTCGGAGCGACGCGTCACCTCGTTCCTAGGGAGGGCTGCCCACCGGTCGTTCACGTTCTCGCCGCGTCTCTCCGCGTCTCTCTAATCCTCCCTCTGCGTCTCCGCCGATGCTGCGCTGCAGGTGGAGCTTGGGAACGTGAATCGCGACGAGGAGAAGGAGGAGGAGGAGAAAAAGAGGAAGCGCAAGGGCAGCCTCTCCACGCAGGAGGCCAGCGGGCTGGACGTGCCCGAGGTGACACGGGCGCTAAAGGTGAAGGACGCACTCACTCGACGCTGTTTCGCACGCACCTGGGGCCAGGAGGGCGCGGGTGCATTTTTTTTGTCGCCGGTGTTTTTTTGCCGAGCCGATTCGGAACCGAGCCGGAAGCGAGCCAGAACTGAGCCAGAGCCGAGCCGAAACCGGGCTGGAACCGAGCCGGCGATGTCGTCTGAATGTGGCTCGGGGCCAAGCAGGGCCCGGGGGCGGGACCAGTACGGAACGCGAAAACACCGCGTCCGTCCCGACGTCACGTGTTGCAACGTGATGCCGTGGCGGGGGACGCGCTGGTGAGTCACCAGCGCGGCTCGGTTTTTGGGCGGTGGAAAAAGCAAACCGATGGCGCCTCCGCCTGTCGCACCTCCGATCTGCGCGGTTGGCTACGCACGACGCGCGAAGGAAGTTCAACATCCACGCATTACATACATGACGACGACGGACTGGGGAGGCACTTCGTCCGGCGGCGGGATGCAACACGGCCGACGAATGAATGCCTTGCGTGCCGCAGACGGACACCGACGCGGGTCTGGACGCCGGCGAGGTCCTGCTTCGACGGGAGGTGCACGGGGCCAACGAGTTCGAGCTGGGAGAGCATGAGCCCGTGTGGAAGAAGTACCTGTCCCAGGTGAGTCCTTCAAGGATAAAGGTCCCCCTCACCCACACTCCTCCTCCCCCCACCCACCCCCCCCCCCCCCCCTCGTATAGCTAGGGGCAAGTGCTGTTAGCGGTTAGCAGCGCCTATGAAGGCCGGCACGGCACACGAGGGGGTGGGTGGCCAGCATCCAGGCCCGGCCGCCTTTGTCTCCCCCAGTGGCGATATTTTGCACGTCACACGGGGTACTCATTTGAGGCTGAGTCGACCACCACCACCATCACCACTGACAACAACAACAACAACCGCCATTTGCCACTAAGTGGTGGTGACGTAACCACGGCGCCTGCGCCAGGCTATGTGCACGTTGAGGCCACGTGAAGCATCGAACGCCCACTGGCAAGACAGACCCAGCAGGTGCCATGGGTTGACTGAGTGAGGTGACTGGGCGATGCACCACCTGTGCCCTCTGCTGCGCCAACTTGCTGCGTCTTAGCCGCCCGCCACTCCGCTCGTTGTTGTGAGCGTCGCTCCCCTTGCCCTCCGCTGTTGCTGGAGGTCGACTGCCTCCCAACTGCCCGAGTAACAGCGTCCTTCGCCACCAACAGCACCACTCACCACCACCAACAACTAAAACAACACTCCCAAAGCCACCAACGACAACAGTAACAACACCACCAACTTCACCACTACCACCACCACCGTCATCGACAACAAAATAACCCAACAACACTACCAGACACCAACAATGACATCACCAGTGATAACAACACGACCAACAACATCACCACCACCACCAACATCACCACCAACATCACCACCACCACCAACATCACCACGAACAACATAACCACCACTAACATCACCACCAACAACATCACCACCACCACCAACATCACCACCAACAACATCACCATCAAAAACATCACCACCACCACCAACAACATCACCACCACCACCAACATCACCACCACCATCACCACCACCAAAATCACCACCAACATCACCACCACCACCACCAACAACATCACCACCAACAACGCCACCAACAACATCACCACCAACAACATCACCACCAACAACATCACCACCAACAACATCACCACCACCACCAACATCACCACGAACAACATAACCACCACTAACATCACCACCAACAACATCACCACCACCACCACCAACATCACCACCACCAACAACATCCCCACCACCACCAACATCTCCACCAACAACATCACCACCAACAACATCACCACCACCACCAACATCACCACCAACAACATCACCACCACCACCAACATCACCACCACCACCAACATCACCACCACCAACAGTCCCCTCCAACAACCGCCGCCTACAGCACCCACGGTAAGTGGTCACTGCCCGGGCTCGACTTGACCCTAAGCAGCTGTAAGGGACGGGCTGTGAGGCTGAAGGTCACGGCCGTTCCAACGCTGACCCTGTTGCCCTCCTGCAGTTCAAGAACCCCATGATCCTGCTGCTGCTGGCGTCCGCGGCCGTCAGCGTCATCACGAAGCAAGTGGATGACGCCATCAGCATCACCCTGGTGAGTCCACGGGTCTCTGTGCGAGTCCGTACATCTGTGTGAGTCCACGGGTCTCTGTGCAAGTCCGTACATCTGTGTGAGTCCACGGGTCTCTGCGCGAGTCTGTACGGCACGGGTAACGCACCAGCGGTGATCAACCGCACCGCTGCTGGGCCCTTCCCTAGGTCAACGTCATCCTTGCACGAGCACGTGGCGCGCTGTGTAAATATCAAAACCCCGGGCAAGAACGGAGGTGGTGTTGGGTTACTGCTGACTGCCTCCGATTAGCACGGCTGGCTACGTACGGCGCAAAAGAAGTTCAACGTACACACGACCAACGCTGGTCCGCCTTAATAGACGCTCGCTAAAAGCACTTTCTCTCTCTTTCCCACGGTCTTTGCGGCTACACAAAGGGTGTTTGTTGTTATCGGTGTGTGTGTGTGTGCGATTTGCAGGCCATTGTCATCGTGGTGACGGTGGCCTTTGTACAGGTGAGATTTTACACCCACACTTTGTACCCCAGCTCTGCACCGACTTGGGACGCACACACCCAGAGCAGCAACGCATTGCGTCGGGGAGACGTTTTTTGTATACCCCGAGGCTAAAACTCAAACTATTTATTTTGTACTATTTGGGTCTTTCGGTAAAGTCACGTAGATAGAAAAAAAAGCACAACACAAGCAAATCGTCTTCAGGTGAAAAAATATATATTTTTTGCGTCAGTCCTGTTCGTCTGTATATTTTTTCACCTGAGGACGATTTGCTTGTGCTGCGATCGAAACGTGGTGGTTTGTTTTATTTTATTATTTTCCTATCCACGTCACTTTACCGAAAGACCCAGAGAGTATGAATTCCCTGCAGTCACGAAAGCTTGAAGGCAAGATTTATTTATTTTGTATTTCCTTTTACCAGCTCAGGCCCCAAACTGAGCTACGTCAGCTCATTTTCAGAAGCGACCTGCCTCTCACAAACGACAACTCGACGAAAGTGGCTTAACATCATCGTGTGGACAATGTCGTTATGCCACTGGGTTAGAATGGAATGATGTGGATGGCAGGGGGGCGCGCTACAAGGGTTGGTTGAGGAACTTGGGGATCACAAAAGGGTAGGGGGAGGGACGGGAAGGAGTGGAGAGAGAGAGAGAGAGGGGGGCGTTGGAGAAGAGGCGAGTCTTGAAGAGGAAAGCCCCCGAGTGAGGTTCGTGTACAAAGCGAAGTTTACTCAGTGCAAGCGCAATCCCTGGACCGGTTTCGACGCGCCGTGTCTCATCAGAAGAGCGGAAGTCAGGCTCGCCGGTGAACTGCTTGATGTGACCGCCAAGGAGACCGTCCCTTTACGATACGGCGAGGGGCGCGAGGGGGGGGGAGCCCAGTTGGGTTTGTGGGTTGCATCAAGGAGCGCTTTAATTCGTGTACAGCGGAGAAGCGGACATTGCGGAGGTGACGCGCGGTCCGCTTCTCAATCGTTGCCCTCTTTTACTCCACACAGCGGCGCGAATGATTTTATTTTTTGAGCCGCCAGTAATGCGGCCAGTTACCACGGGGAGGATGTTCGCTGGCAGGGCGCTAACACAGTTCCGCGGACCGTCTGCTCCCCTATGATGAACACGGTTGGCTACGTGCGGTGCGAAGGAAGTTCGACACGCACACACATACATAGGTGTTCATCCGGAGATTGATTTGGCTGGGGAGTGCGCCGTGGTTGCCAATGTTTCAGAATAGCAATCTTTATTTATCCTCGAAGGAATCCGCAGATGTCCAGTGTGGGCGCGGGGGTTGGAGAGTTACAAACAACAAACAATAAAAAAACACGATACGTGTGCAAAGTAGAACAAACGTAAGCAAGTGACTCACAATAAATGAATAAAATGCATTATATATAAGTGCAATTTTAGACTGACATTTTGACATCTCGATTGAAAAACGAATTTCTTCAGAACTGCTGTTTGCGTGTTTAGTTTGTTGTCCTTCCCCCCGTACCTCCGATTTAGCACGGTTGGCTACGTATGGTGCGAGAGAAGTTGAACAACACACGTGCATGACGTATGTCGCGGTCTTTTAATCTAATCGACCCCGGAAATGAAGTAAGCGCGTCGAGACGCGTGAAACACCGTCGCCCCCATTTGTGAGCACGACCCAAGTTAACATCAAAGTCGCTTTCTTTAGCTACAACAGTTATAATAATAACAACAACAACAACGATAACAATGATCTGCGGTCCATAGAGTCGCTCTTCTTCACGTCGGTGTGAGTCTCGTAGCGCTGTGCGCACGATGAACGACTTCCAAACCCAGCGCATTCGCAAGGGCACCCCCAGTGGCAGCTGTCCCTGTGCAGCAGCACAATGTTACTCGTGGCACTTTTCCTGCAAGTTAATCATTAGTCTTGCCAGCAGAAAGGCGGGGGAGGTGGGGTGGTTGTACATACGATGCTTAAGTACATAACTCCCTGCCGATGTTTCAACACTGAATGCAAACATTTACCTAATCTGCGGGGGCGATCTGCACGCGTTGTACGCGGCGTTGATCGAGGATTATTTTTTTGTTTGACCCGTCAGGAGTACCGCTCAGAAAAATCTCTAGAAGAACTCAACAAACTGGTTCCCCCGGAATGCAACTGGTGAGGAGTGGTTTGCGGGGTCGGGGGTGGGTGCTGGGGTTGGGCAAATTTCACATTACCAGTTTGTACTACACGCTGAAGCACTGCACGCGCACACACGCACAAACAACATCAACAACCGCCATTCGCCACTAAGTGGCGGCGACGTCACCACGACGCTTGTGCCAGGCTACGTGCACGTTGAGGCGACGTGCAGTGTGGAACGCCCGCTGGCAGGAGGTCAAGGGGCAATACCCAAGTGGTGCCACGGCTCGAATGACCGAGATGACGGGGCCGATGCACCGCCTGTGTCCCCTGCTGTGCCAACTCGCTGCGTTTGATCCGCCCAGCGCTCCGAGCGTCGCTCCTCTGCCCTCGGTTGTAGCCGGAGGGCGACTGCCTCCAACTGCTCAGCAGCAGCAGCGTCCTTCAAAAGCCTCCTCCACACGCACACATTCTCCACATGCACACATTCTCCACATGCACACGCACACACACGCACGTGTGTGTGTGTGTGTCCGCGTGCGCAAGTGCACGCAGCCACACTTGGTCATAGCCAGGAATGGAATTTTACGTCTCCAGGTTCGCTGAACAGTGCCCAAACCACTGCGCCACCACTCACCACGCACGCGCGCGTGAACGTGCGTGAACGCACAAAGACAAAGATCCCCCGTGTAGCCGAAACAGACTGTTGGGGCAAGTTCTGTTAGCGAGCACCTATGAATGCCGTCAAAGGCACACGAGGAGGTGGGTGGCCAGCACCACTCCCGGCCACCTTTGTCTTCCCAGTGGCGATGTTTACTACACACTACGCCGGGTACTCATTTGAGGCTGAGTCGACCTAGAGGAGGCCCGGGACCGGTTCAGATAATCGTCACTGGTGTTGGTTGTGAGCGGGAATTGAACTTGGGTCGCCGGGTTCGTAGTGCAGCGCGCTGACTACCGCTCCCCATGAATGCACGCAAACATGAACACATGAACACCTGAACATCTTAGATGGCACACAAAGACAATGATCCCCCTTATGTGTGTATGCAAGTCTGTGTGTGTTTCTGAATGTCTATCTGTCTGTTTGCTTTCTGTGTCTGTGTGTGTGCCTGCATGTCTGTCTGTGTGTGTGTCCGCAAGTCTGTGTCTGTGTGTGTTTCTGCATGTCTATATGTCTGTCTGCATGTCTGTGTTTCTGCACGTCTATCCGTGTGTGTGCGTCTGCATGTTTACATGTCCGTATGTCTGCATGTCTCTATGTGCGTATGCATGTCACTCCGTGTGTGTGTGTCCGCATGTCTATCCGTGTGTGAGCATGTCTAATCTGTCTGTCTGCGTGCCCTTGTGTGTCTGCGTTCCCAGTGTCCGAGGAGGAACAACGGAGCGTCTCCTGGCGAGGGAGCTCGTCCCGGGGGACCTTGTGTGCCTCGCGCTCGGAGACCGAGTGCCGGCCGACCTGAGACTCACCGAGGTGTCAGCGCGAGCTTACACACGACTGGACATTACTATTCACATCGTTGTTGTTGTTGTTGTGTGTGTATGCGAGCGAGTATGGGGTAAGCTCGTGGCGAGCGGTGGTGCAGCGGCTCGCGCGCTGCGCTACGAACCCGGCAGCCCGAGTTCGATTCCCGCTCACAGCCAACACCAATGACGATTGTCTGAACCGGACCTGGGCCTCCCCTAGGTCGACTCAGCCTCAAATGAGTACCTGGTACGGTGCGTACACACCGCCACTGGGGAGACAAAGTCGGCTGGGCGTGGTGTTGGCCACCCACCCCCTCGTGTACCGTGCCGGCCTTCATAGGTGCCCGTGGCGCAGGCATAAGCCTACCCACAGGCAGGATGATCACTGCTAATGAAAGCCGGTTGGAAGTCAGGAGTGTGAAGCAGAGCCCACTGGGTCCCAAGGGCAAAGATAAGACTGGGTGCGTGGCACCGTGTACGGGGACATCAAAGACAGCCCAATTCGTCCGTGAATGTGAGAGCTTCAAGACCGCCAAAGAGGAGCTTGCGGCAGCGATTGACCTCTCTTGGGGTGAGGTTCAGCGTGTTGTCAGGGACAGGAAGAAGTGGAGGGAACCAGGGGCAGCCCAAGGCTTGCTGCCAGCAGCTGGCGCCCGAGGCAAACCATGCAACCGGTGGCCTCACCCCCAAACCTGAAGGGGCAGATCTAGGCTGAGGTTGTTTGGTAAACTGGGAAATATTATGCCACTATTTTATGTTGAATGTTTTTGCAAGTGGATTTTTTTTTAAACAGAGGCATGCTTATTTGGTTTGTCTCTCTGACCGTCTGTCCAATCAGTACATTCTCTGAAATGTTGAGAAACGATCATTCATATTGCCTTCGTTATTTTTTACTTCTATTTTTTTTCTCTCTCGAATTTGGCGCCCCCACTTAACTCGGCGCCCTAGGCGATCACCCTAGTTCACCCTGTATGGACGGCCGCCCCTGGAGGGATACTCATTGTGGCCTAATTAATCCTTTTCAGGGGTTTAAAAGGATTAATTAGGCCCCTGTAAAGGATTAATTAGGCCACAATGAGTATCCCTCCAGGGGCGGTCGTCCGTATCGGGTGAACTAGGGTGGTCGCCTCGGGCACCGAGTAAATAATTTACGCGATCTCACCCAAAAAACCTCTATTATGAGCTGTATAGCTCTTTTTTCAGAAGCGGTCTGGTCACAAATGATAGCTCAATGAAGTGGCTTAAGGTCATCGTTGGGAAATGTATAGCAGCCAAATACTCTAAACGCATGACGTTGATTCTAAATGTGGAGGGGAACCCGGAGAAAAATCCACGTGACCGCGGGGAGAGAGAGAGACACGCAAACTCCAAATATACAGCAGGCGCCAGGTTTGGGATCAAACCCGCGACCTGTATACCAGGCGTGTTGCTCAGAAGGGGCGAAACGTCGGACGTCGTGCCGAACCGACGCGCGGTGCAACCCGAATACACCACATCGGCAGGGCAGGAGGAGGCGGTGTTGGCGATGTCTGTACGTGTGTGTGTACGTGGGTATATGTGTGTATGTTCGAACGCTCACTGCGGAGGAGAGGCTGCCACTCCTCTGTCGGGAGCTGGACCGGTGCCGCCTGGATCTCTGTGGTTATTCAGGAGGTCTGGTGGACCGGCTCTTGCTCCTGCCACCGTGAGGGGTGGACAGTCCTCTACTCAGGGCAGAAGACTGCCAAACAACAGGGAGTGGCTCTTCTTCTGAACAAAAGAATGAAGGAGGCTTTGGGAGCGTGGCGGAGAGGTGTGGGAAGCTATAAGACCCAGGCTACTTTGGGCTCGCCTTCTCATCAACCAGAGGCGAGGAGCGGTGGTCGTGGTTACTTATGCCCCCACCGAAGATGAACATTCGTGGAGGGATGCAGGCAAGGCCGATAAGTCAGATGCCTTCTATGACCTCCTGTCACAGGTGCTAGCTAAAGTGGCCCCTCGGGATAGAGTAATCTTGTTGGGTGACTTTAATGCCCGAGTTGGTCATGATGCTGGCACCTGGTCTGGAGTGATTGGAAGGCATGGGCCAGATCAGCTCAATAACAACGGCAGGAGACTGCCAGATTTTCGTGCAGCCCATGGGCTTGTAATTACCAACACACTGGTCCAGCATCAGTGCATCCACACAACATCATGGATGCATGCCGGGTCCAAGCTAGAACATCTGCTGGACTACATAGTGACGGAACAGCGGATGCGGGCCCATGCCCTTGACACCAGGACCTACTGTGCAGCTGATCTGCCGACTGACCATCGACATGTCATCTGTAAGATGTGCCTGCCATTCTTCCACTCTGGTGGTGGATGTACACCCAGGACCCCATTCAAACCAATAGTGGCATGGTCTCAACTAGCTGATGAAAGTTGCAAGCAAGAATGTAATCATCGCTTGTGGCTGGGGTTGGCATTGTCCCCTACTCCTCCTGATGTTGAGGGGAAATGGGCAAGGTTTAGGACTGTGGCTCATGCAGCTGCAATGGTTGCTTTGGGTACACGGGCCAGACCTCCCCAGAGACCTTGGCTGACAGAGGAGGTTTTTAGGCTGGCTGAGAAAAAGTGACAGGCCTACTCTCACCATCTACAGCATCTCACGTCAGAGAATGAGGAGGCTTACCTCAGCCTTCGCTCGGAGGTTTGGAGAGCCGTGAGGCGCTGCAAGGATGGGTGGTGGTCACGGGTTGCTGAAGAGATGGAGTCTGACACAAATCGCTCTTTAACTCCATAAAAACAGTAACATGCAGCGCCACACCTATTACCATCGGGGAAAGAACGGTGATCCAATCTCTGACCCCCAGCAACAGGTTTGCAGATTTGCTGAGCATTTCTGTGAGGTCCTGGGGGAGGGGAAATCTCTCAGCCTGGAAAACATCATGGGACAAAGTCGGGATGATCCTGCTGAGGCTGCGGTGTCTCAAATATTGGAAGAAGTCACCTCCTGTGAGTGGCTAGCTGACGTGCCATCTGCTAAGGAAGTACTGAAGGTGATCCGGAGTCTGAGAACAGGAAAGGCACCGGGCAGAGATGATCTCCAAAGCGAAATGCTGAGGGAGGGTGGCGTTTGTGCACAGACTGCCCTACATGACATCATAACAACAGTCTGGACCACTGGACGGGTTCAGCAGTCCCCCTTCTTAAAGAGGGGGACCGCACAGAATGTAACAACTACAGGGGTATCTCACTCCTTAGTTTGCCGGGAAAGGACCTGGCAAGGATTATTCAAAATTGCCTTGCCAGACACGCAGAGAAGAGGCTTGCGGAGCCCCAATGCGGTTTCAGGAAAGGGCAGTCTTGCACAGATACCATATTTTATGTCCGTCTGCTACAGCAGAGATGAAGATAATTCCAACAAGACCTACATCTATGCTTTATTGACCTGGTCAAGGCCTATGATACCATCAGTAGGCCTGGGCTCTGGGTTGTTCTTCATGCTTTCGGAGTCCCTGACTCTCTTCTCACGATCATTAAGGACCTTCATGATGGTGAGCGGGTCCGGGTAAAACTACGTGGCCTGGAGTCAGAGCCATTCCCTGTTCACTTTGGGGTGCGACAGGGATGTCCTCTGGCTCCCACATGATTTAAGATCTATTTCAACCACATAGTTAGTGAAGCCTTCAATATCTGTACCAGAGAAATTTCCATCTGATCGATGGCTGGGTGCGGTCAAGGGATGACTCCCTATTGCTCAACCATGTTATGTATGCCGATGATCTGGTAATTGCTGCTCATTCATAGGAGGAGTTGGAGGCACTGCTGCTGAACCTGGAGCTTGTCACTAAGAGGTGGGGCCTTACCATCAACCCCACAAAAACTAAGCATCTGCCTGGGTATTTTGTACCATCGGACACTCCACCCCCACAACTCCCAATTGGTGATGGGGCAGTTGTGGAGAAAGTGGAGTGTTTCCCATACCTGGGCAGTGTGCTCATGACCAGCTCCAGTTTGACAGCAGAGGTCTCACTCCGAATCAGTCGAGCGGCAATATCTTTTCATCGGTTGCGTAACGCTGTGTGGAAGCTACCTGGTCTGTCGCTCCGCACTATGCTTCAGGTCTTCTCGGCCACAGTCATTTCCTCCCTTCTCTATGGTTCCGAAACGTGGACCCCCCTAATAGAACATCTTCACCGGTTAGAAACATTTAGGCTAGCCTGCCTACGATCCATCCTGGGTTTAACCAGGCTGGATTGTATGAGGAACTCACAATCCTTGAAAATCTGGACTAAGTCCCATTGGTGAGCTCCTCCGGCAGGCAAGGCTGCATTGGCTGGGTCATGTAGCCCGCATGCCCAGCCACCGCATGCTGAAACAGCCTTTGTTCGGCTGGATCGAGGGGGCTAAACGGGCATGGCACGGGCTAGAGAAGAGATGGAGTGATGTGGTACAGGAGGACGTGGAGCTGAGTGAACTTGCCAATGACTGGTACCAGCGATGTCAAGATCGGCCTCTGTGGAGGAGGCTCGTGAAGGACGCTACTGGGCAGTTGGAGGCAGTCGCCTTCCAACAACAACGGAGGGCGGAGGAGCGACGCTCAACAACGAGCGGAGCGCCGGGTGGCTAAAGCACAGCAGGTTGGCACAGTAGGGGCCACAGGTGGTGCATCAGCCAGTCATTTCAGTCATCTTAGTCAGTCGACCCTTGGCACCTGGGTCTGCCCCGTGACCTCCTGCCAGCGGGCGTTCGACACTTCACGTGGCCTCAACGTGCACGTAGCCTGGCACAAGCATCGTGGTGACGTCACCACCACTTAGTGGCGAATGGCGGTTGTTGTTGTTGTTGTTGTTATGCACATGTGTGTGTGTATGTGGGGGAGCGGTTGTACAGTGGTTAGCGCGCAGTGCTATGAATCCGGCGACCCGGGTTCAATTCCTACCCACGGCCACCAACACCGGTGACGATTATCTGAACCGATCCTTGCCTCCCCTAGATCGGCTCGGCCTCAAATGAGTACCTGGGTGCGGTGTGTAAAAACATCGCCACCTGGGAGATGAAGGCGGCTGGGCGGGCATGGTTGCTGGCCACCCACCCCACTCGTGTGCCACAGTGGCGGCCTTCATAGGCGGCGCTGCTACTCGCTACCAGCACTTGCCACAACGGTGTGTTAAGGCTACACAATGGGCATCTTTGCGCCAGGCTGTGGAGCTCACGCTGGACGAGTCGAGCTTCACGGGCGAGACCCAGCCGAATGCCAAGACGGTGGACGCGGCTCACCCCGGCCTCGACGGCAGCTGCGGCGGAGGCGGTGGCAGTAACAGCAGCCCCGTCAACATCGTGTTCATGGGGACCCTGGTCCGAAGCGGTCGCGGCAAGGTGAGCGGTGGGGTTCGGGGTTTTTGCTCCGAGGAGCAGCGGCTTTAATGAGCGTGGGGGGCAGGCAGGGGGTGCCTTGTCCCCAATGGACGCCCCCCCCCCTAGTGGCCAAAGCTGTGAGATGGGGGGGCCCCCTTGACAACCACCATCATGAAATGTGTGTTCCACATTGTGCAGGATCAAAAAACGTATTCAAAACGCGGTTTGAATACATTTTTTATGAAAGTACTTTCATTTTCGTTACCCTTTCTATTTTTATTCAATCAGAACGGGAACGTAATATTGCAAAAGAGGTAACTACTACGGAGCTGTAGTGGGCTGCATTTTGCGAAGACAGAGCACCACCTACAGCGTTAAATGTACAAGACCGTGAGCGTAATGACGATGTGATTAGAGCAAGAGGAGCCTGGGTACGACCATGCGAGACAAATCAAATATTGGGGACCCCACCTGACCGATTGCCACACCCTCTGAGCTGATAATTTCGTTACTACGTCACTGATAATCTAGTTTACTCCGCCACAGAAAATGTAGTTTACTACACCACTGATAATGTAGTCACTACGCCACTGATAATGTAGTCAGTACACCACTGATAATGTAGTTTACTACGCCACTGATAATGTAGTTACTACACCACTATAATGTCGTTACTACGCCACTGATAATGTAGTCACTACGTCACTGATAATGTAGTTTACTACGCCACAGATAATGTAGTTACTACACCACTGATAATGTAGTCACTACGCCACTGATAATGTAGTTACTACATCACTGATAATGTAGTTACTACGCCACTGATAATGTAGTTACCACGCCACTGATAATGTAGTTGCTACACCACTGATAATGTAGTTACTACGCCACTGATACTGTTGTTACTACACCACTGATAATGTAGTTACTACGTCACTGATAATGTAGTTACTACGCCACTGATAATGTAGTTACTACGCCACTGATAATGTAGTTTACTACACCACTGATAATGTAGTTACTACACCACTGATAATGTAGTTACTACACCACAGATAATGTAGTTACTACACCACTGATAATGTAGTTACTACGCCACTGATGATGTAGTTACTACATCACTGATAATGTAGTTACTACGCCACTGATAATGTAGTTACTACGCCACTGATAATGTAGTTACTACGCCACTGATAATGTAGTTACTACGCCACTGATAATGTAGTTACTACACCACTGATAATGTAGTTACTACGCCACTGATAATGTAGTTACTACACCACTGATAATGTAGTTACTACACCACTGATAATGTAGTTACTACGCCACTGATAATGTAGTTACTACACCACTGATAATGTAGTTACTACACCACTGATAATGTAGTTACTACACCACTGATAATGTAGTTACTACACGGCTGATAATGTGGTTACTACACCACTGATAATGTAGTTACTACACCACTGATAATGTAGTAACTACACCACTGATAGTGTAGTTACTACGCCACTGATAATGTAGTTACTACGCCACTGATAATGTAGTTACTACGCCACTGATAATGTAGTTTACTACACCACTGATAATGTAGTCACTACGCCACTGATAATGTAGTCAGTACACCACTGATAATGTAGTTTACTACGCCACTGATAATGTAGTTACTACACCACTATAATGTCGTTACTACGCCACTGATAATGTAGTTACTACACCACTGATAATGTAGTTACTACACCACTGATAATGTAGTTACTACACCACAGATAATGTAGTTACTACACCACTGATAATGTAGTTACTACGCCACTGATGATGTAGTTACTACACCACTGATAATGTAGTTACTACGCCACTGATAATGTAGTTACTACGCCACTGATAATGTAGTTACTACGCCACTGATAATGTAGTTACTACGCCACTGATAATGTAGTTACTACGCCACTGATAATGTAGTTACTACACCACTGATAATGTAGTTACTACGCCACTGATAATGTAGTTACTACACCACTGATAATGTAGTTACTACGCCACTGATAATGTAGTTACTACACCACTGATAATGTAGTTACTACACCACTGATAATGTAGTTACTACACCACTGATAATGTAGTTACTACACGGCTGATAATGTGGTTACTACACCACTGATAATGTAGTTACTACACCACTGATAATGTAGTAACTACACCACTGATAGTGTAGTTACTACGCCACTGATAATGTAGTTACTACGCCACTGATAATGTAGTTACTACGCCACTGATAATGTAGTTACTACACCACTATAATGTCGTTACTACGCCACTGATAATGTAGTTACTACACCACTGATAATGTAGTTACTACACCACTGATAATGTAGTTACTACACCACTGATAATGTAGTTACTACACCACAGATAATGTAGTTACTACGCCACTGATAATGTAGTTACTACGCCACTGATAATGTAGTTACTACGCCACTGATAATGTAGTTACTATGCCACTGATAATGTAGTTACTACACCACTGATAATGTAGTTACTACGCCACTGATAATGTAGTTACTACACCACTGACAATGTAGTTACTACGCCACTGATAATGTAGTTACTACACCACTGATAATGTAGTTACTACACCACTGATAATGTAGTTACTACACCACTGATAATGTAGTTACTACACGGCTGATAATGTGGTTACTACACCACTGATAATGTAGTTACTACACCACTGATAATGTAGTAACTACACCACTGATAGTGTAGTTACTACGCCACTGATAATGTAGTTACTACGCCACTGATAATGTAGTTACTACGCCACTGATAATGTAGTTACTACGCCACTGATAATGTAGTTACTACGCCACTGATATTGTAGTTACTACGCCACTGATAATGTAGTTACTACACCACTGATAATGTAGTTACTATGCCACTGATGATGTAGTTACTACGCCACTGATAATGTAGTTACTACACCACTGATAATGTAGTTACTACGCCAATGATAATGTAGTTACTACACCACTGATAATGTAGTTACTACGCCACTGATAATGTAGTTACTACGCCACTGATAATGTAGTTACTACACCACTGATAATGTGGTTACTACACCACTGATAATGTAGTTACTACACCACTGATAGTGTAGTTACTACGCCACTGAGAGTGTAGTTACTACACCACTGATAATGTAGTTACCACGCCACTGATAATGTAGTTACTACACCACAGATAATGTAGTCACTACGCCACTGATAATGTAGTTACTACACCACTGATAATGTTGTTACTACACCACTGATAATGTAGTTTACTATGCCACTGATAATGTAGTTTACTATGCCACATATAATGTAGTTACTACGCCACTGATAATGTAGTTACTACGCCACTGATAATGTAGTTACTACGCCACTGATAATGTAGTTACTACGCCACTGATAATGTAGTTACTACGCCACTGATAATGTAGTTACTACACCACTGATAATGTAGTTACTACGCCACTGATAATGTAGTTACTACACCACTGATAATGTAGTTACTACACCACTGATAATGTAGTTACTACACCACTGATAATGTAGTTACTACACCACTGATAATGTAGTTACTACACCACTGATAATGTAGTTACTACACGGCTGATAATGTGGTTACTACACCACTGATAATGTAGTTACTACACCACTGATAATGTAGTAACTACACCACTGATAGTGTAGTTACTACGCCACTGATAATGTAGTTACTACGCCACTGATAATGTAGTTACTACGCCACTGATAATGTAGTTACTACACCACTGATAATGTAGTTACTACGCCACTGATAATGTAGTTACTACACCACTGATAATGTAGTTACTACGCCACTGATAATGTAGTTACTACACCACTGATAATGTAGTTACTATGCCACTGATGATGTAGTTATTACGCCACTGATAATGTAGTTACTACACCACTGATAATGTAGTTACTACGCCACTGATAATGTAGTTACTACACCACTGATAATGTAGTTACTACGCCACTGATAATGTAGTTACTACGCCACTGATAATGTAGTTACTACACCACTGATAATGTGGTTACTACACCACTGATAATGTAGTTACTACACCACTGATAGTGTAGTTACTACGCCACTGAGAGTGTAGTTACTACACCACTGATAATGTAGTTACCACGCCACTGATAATGTAGTTACTACACCACAGATAATGTAGTCACTACGCCACTGATAATGTAGTTACTACACCACTGATAATGTTGTTACTACACCACTGATAATGTAGTTTACTATGCCACTGATAATGTAGTTTACTATGCCACATATAATGTCGTTACTACACCACTGATAATATAGTCACTACACCACTGATAATGTAGTTACTACACCACTGATAATGTCGTTACTACGTCACTGATAATGTAGTTACTACGCCACTGATAATATAGTTACCACGCCACTGATAATGTAGTTACTAGACCATTGATAGTGTAGTTACTACACCACTGATAATGTAGTTACTACACCACTGATAATGTAGTCAGTACACCACTGATAATGTAGTTACTACACCACTGATAATGTAGTCACTACACCACTGATGATGTAGTCATTACACCACTGGTAATGTAGTTACTACACCACTGATAATGTAGTCACTACACCACTGATAATGTAGTTACTACGCCACTGATAATGTAGTTGTTACGCCACTGATAATGTAGTTACTACACCACTGATAGTGTAGTTACAACACCGCTGATAATGTCGTTACTACACCACTGATAATGTCGTTACTACACCACTGATAATGTAGTTACTATGCCACTGATAATGTAGTTCATTACGTCACTGATAATGTAGTTTTCTACGCCAATTTTTCTCACGATTCTGGAACCGCGTCGTGAACTGCGCGTCATACATGTTCGCGACGATGATCGACGATTATGGCGACGACCATAATTGCGACGAGTATTATGATGACAATAATGATGGTGACGACGATAATGAGGGTGATGACGATGATGCTGTTGGCGATCATCAGCCATGAGGATGGCAGTTTAGACGACGATGACAAGGACGATAATTACGATCACGACAATGACGGAGGTAATGCAGGCCACGACGACGGTGGTGGTGATGGTGACGATGACGATGGTGAGGTCTCACGGCACTCTATTGTGACGTCATGGTGCAGGGTATCGTCGTCAACACCGGCGAGAACTCTCAGTTCGGCGAGGTGTTCCGCATGATGCAGAAGGAGGAGGTGAGAAAACGCTGCCGCTGTTGCTGTAGTTGCCTCTATAGCTGCTGCTGCTGCTGTAGCTGCTGTAGTTGCCTCTGTCGCTGCTACTGTTGTAGCTGCTGCTGTAGCTACTGCTGTTGCTGCTTCTGTAGCTGCTGCTTTAGCTCCTTTAGCTGCTGCTTTAGCTGCTGTAGCTGCTGCTTTATCTCCTGTAGCTGCTGCTGTGGCAGCTGCTGCCTCTGTAGCTGCTGCTGCTGTTGCTGCTCCTGTAGCTGCTGCTTTAGCTCCTGTAGCTGCTGCTTTAGCTGCTGCTTTAGCTGCTGTAGCTGCTGCTTTATCTCCTGTAGCTGCTGCTGTGGCAGCTGCTGCCTCTGTAGCTGCTGCTGTGGCAGCTGCTGCCTCTGTAGCTGCTGCTGTTGCTGCTCCTGTAGCTGCTGCTTTAGCTCCTGTAGCTGCTGCTTTAGCTCCTGTAGCTGCTGCTTTAGCTGCTGTAGCTGCTGCTTTAGCTGCTGCTGCTGCCATAGCTGCCACTGGCTATTCACTCGCTTGCCAGAGGTCGCGGATCCCAGGGTAGGGGCTGCGATTGGGGTGAACGCCTCCCCCCACCTCCCTCCCTCCCATTCTCCAAGCGCAGTGAGATGACGGTGACCGCCAGTGACTGCAAGGACAAATCAAACCCCGTCGCCATGAGTGCATTGGGTTCCGCACTCAAATTCGTGTCCATTCCAAATCGAACGATTCGCCTTTTGGGCAGCTTCGTCTCACGGTCGTCGAGCACTGCCATGGGACCAAGCTGGAAGGTTTTGCGCCAACAATTGCCCTGCAATTCTGCACATATTAAGATATTCCCCAACCAATTTGCGAGTGTTTGTGCGTGTGGGGGGCGGGGGAAGGGGGGTGGTAACCGGTAACCGGAGCACCCGAATTAAAACCCAACATGTGCGAGGGGGCAACGCTCTATCCCACACAGAAGGGGACACGCTGATATGAAAAATAAGAATAGGGTTTTTACCCTTTCTGCCAATAAAACAGGAGGTGTTAAGATGTTCAAACACCAAATAGAAACCTTTTGCAAGGAAGCAAGTACTGCATAAGCCACGCAAAGCACTTGTGGTGAACTTGAAAACAAACATGCTCTGATAAAATCTCAATTGTCTTATTAAACTGAATGGCCTACACCAGAGACAGCCTTCCTGGCAAAAGGTATCTATTTGGTCAGTTTGAACATCTTAATGCCTGATTTAAAGCTTTCGTGACTGCAGTAATTCATATTCTTAGCTCTTTCGGTAAAGTCACGTTGAAGGGAAACAATAAAATAATAACGTGACTTTACCGAAAGAGCTAAGAATATCTTAATGCCTGTCTTATTGCCAGAAAGGGTAAGACCTATTCTTATTTTGCATCCACTTTGCTGCACTACCTTCTGCTGAAAAGGCCCAGGGGACATGACACCATATTGTATGAAATAACCAACCCTAGCCTCCACACTTCATGGATTAGAGTGCTGGATCAGGTTGACCGTCACGCAATGAACCCTCGGCTCGGGCGGAGAAGAAAGCGCTGCCCCTCTGTGGTGCCAGAGGCCACCGCTTGAGGGTACCCCCGGGAGGTAGTTCCACAATGTCCACTTTCCGTGGGCCGTCCTCTAAACGCGGGACGTCGTTGCACTTGCCCGCGTGAGAGTTCTGCGTGGGCAATTCTTCTGGTGACGCGGCGCCGACAGCGCAATCGGGATTTTAGAAAAGTGAACAAAATCAAATGTTGCGTGCGAGAGATGGCTGACTCTGCACTTGTTGACATTTGCAGGCACCAAAGACACCCCTGCAGAAAAACATGGATCACTTGAGCAAGCAGCTGTCGCTGTACTCCTTCGGGATCATCGGTGAGTCATCGATGGAATTGTATGCGAGGCAGTCAGCTTCATCGAAGACCCAGCACTCTTCTTTAACTCCAGTCACTTGCTCGCTCGCTCGCCGGCGGTCAGCCCCATCCCGATCACTCTTCTCTTGCTGCTACCATGGCGATACTCTGCACGTGAACTTCACTCGTCGATTCCTCTGCCCATGTTGGGGGACTCGGTATATATCAGGCTGACTGGTGTCATCCACCACACTGTGTTTAACCACCACCACCACACATTCTGGAAGAGATGATTCTGACTGGCTGGTGTGGAGCCTTCTGTCCTCTGGGTGAAGGTCCATGTATTGCTAGGGAGAGACCGTGTTCTGGAAGATGTTTCCGAAAATCCAGATTAAAACACACCTTCTGGAAGACACGCACACTCTGTATTGTAACATGCACAGCTGACTTTTGCTTTAAAACCCTTTAAAGTGCGTCTCATAATCTGGAGGACATGGCATCGATTCTGTATCTGTTTCTCACTTGAATACTTTTCATTTATTCTGACCCTAGCCAGTCAATGGGGGGTGGGGGGGGGGGGGTAGCCAATGGTAGGTTCTTTGATAATCAATATCATTCTCTCTTCCATTGAAAGCTACGCGTTATATTGTCATGCCATCGATGTCATCGCTATAAGAACCATCATCGTGACGCGTCCCACAGGTAACACGTTTGCCGCAGACGTTCACGGTTCGAATCCAGCGGCGAGATGTTAACTACCTCGCCTGGCATGCAGGAGGCCGTGGGTTCGATCCCGACCCTGACGTGTGCCGTATGTTTGGAGTCTCCATGCTCTCGCCACGGTGACGTGGATTGTTCTCCGGGTCCCACCGCATTTAGAATCAACATCACGCGTTTAGAGCATTTTGCCTGCTATACATTTCCACGTGATACGCCACGTGGCTGATCTGTCATTTGTGGTCAGGTCGCTTCTGAAACGAAACAACTGTTATTTTTATGGTAATTACTGCCGTGTGCGTTGATAGTAAAACAACTTATACTCCGCGCAGTCTGCTTCGCAGTGGACGTTAAAGGTCACGTAGCGTCATTTGCAAGATCAGGCCATTGTGTGCCAGTGATCGTGGTGCAAACCTGGCAAATTTGACAACAATAACCGCAAATTACTCGCTTGGAATCTGCACTGCAATAATCACCCCCCACCCCCTACTCACGACTGTGAGAACTGGGGGGGACCCTCCTGAAAACGAGTCGAGAGACTCAGCGAGGCTCTCCCTTGGGTTAACGGCCGTCATAATAAAAGGTGACAACAACCACTTGTTACCTTCGTGCTGTCAGCAAAACACTGTGCGTCCAGGTGGGACACACCGTTGGCTTGTCTGGGCCTTGGTGAAGAGTTGGTTTACACATTCTCCTGCGGAGGGAGCTGGTAGGAACGTCGGGTTGCTCGGTCAATGGGCAGGGTCAACGGCGGCACCACGTGGTGTATTCTGAAAATATGCCCGACTGTGAGGGCGGGCACAAGCCGGCGTGAGTAGGTGAAACGTTGAGTTTTATAAGGGCACCACGGGGTGACCAGCCCCTCCCCACCCTCCCCACCCAGCCCCTCCCCACCCTCCCCTCCCCACCCAGCCCCTCCCCTCTCCACCCAGCCCCACCCCTCCCATTTTTGGATGCACGACGGACGGACGGACACAATAATCCCTTGTGGGCTGGTGGTGTAACCAGGAGGTTCCTACCAGTAAAACCCACAGCTTCAGTTTTTCAATGTTATCCGAGTCGCTGGTAGACTGGAGTATGTGTAGCACGTGACTGCTAGCCATAGTCATACCCTAAGGTATACTGGATATGGTGTTCCGTGTGAGAGATATTATCCGTGTCACTGGTAGAATGGAGTATGTAGCACGTGACTTCTAACCATAGTCATATCTAAAGGTATACTGGATATGGTGTTCCGTGTGAGAGATATTATCCGTATCACTGGTAGAATGGAGTATGTAGCATGTGACTGCTAGCCATAGTCATATCTGAAGGTATACTTGATATGGTGTTCCGTGTGAGAGATATTATCCGTGTCACTGGTAGAATGGAGTATGTAGCACGTGACTGCTAGCCATAGTCATATCTGCAGGTATGCTGGATGTGATTGTGCCATGTGAGAGATATGTTCCGGGTCACTGGTTGACTGGAGTATGTTTAACACGTAGGCTTTCGTGACCAATATTATTCATTATAAACGTTTTTGGGTTAGATCGTGCAAATGGAGGGCTTCACCATTCTGGCAAATTGCCCGATGATGCTGGATGAAATTACCAGCGAAACGTCGTATTCAAAAATTGTAAATGATGTTAAATCACTCTTCAACACCACCGGTAGGCTAAAGTAGTGAAATATTTGTCTTTTGTAAACGTGACACATTCTTTTTTACTGTTTGGCATTGTCGGGTGGTGGAGGGTTACGACACATTTATAAATAAAGCGATCTAATCCAAAAACGTTTATTATGAAGACTGGAGTATGTAGCACGTTATTGCTATGGGGAGGGTTTTCACCTATCTGTTAGAGCTTTTAACAGACAACGGGACAAGAAGTCGCAACTCATCGAGACGCTGACCTTCCTCAAAAGATGCCGCGATCACAAGCTTAAAGGTCGTGATCCAAGCGTGGCTTCTCCCACTCCAGCGCTGTCCTCCAGACAGTCTCGTCCCTTCACCTGATGAAGGCCGCTTGTGTTGTGGCCGAAACGTCGTCATTTTTTTGTTATTTTATTTTCACCTACGTGACTTTACCCAATAGAACCAAAGAGTATGGATCCTAGCAGTCACGAAAGCTTTAAATCTAGAATTGCTAGCCATAGTCGCATCGAAAGGTACACTGGACGTGATGTGGCGGGCGTGGAAATATTTGACCGATAAATCACGCTGTGTGTGTGCGCGCGTGTGCGTGTGTGTGTGATCGTGCTGCCCAGGGCTGATTGCACTGGCCGGTTGGCTCCAGGGGAAGTCTCTCCTCAATATGTTTACCATCGGTGTCAGGTGTGTATACACATTATTGGGAAGCCACTGGAGCCAGGCACTTTTAAAACTAGATTGAAAACTAATTTTTCTTTTTTTTTGGGATGGCTTTTGTTGTTTAGTTTGTTGGCCCTTCCCCTGCACCTCCGATTAGCGCGGTTGGCCACGTACGGCGCAATAGAAGTTCAACATACCTCCAAAAAAAAGAGACTAAGATCCCCCGTATAGTCTTAACAGACTGTTTGGGGAAAGTGCTGTCAGCGAGCCCCTATGAAGGCCGGCATGGTACACGAGGGAGTGGGTGGCTAGCACCATGCCCGACCGCCTTTGTCTCCCCAGTGGTAACGTTTACACACCGCAGCAGGTACTCATTTGAGGCTGAGTCGACCTAGAGGAGGCCCAGTACTGATTCAGGTTATTGTTACTGGCGGTGGCCGTGAGTGGGAATCGAACTCAGCTCGCCCTAATTTTTAGCGCAGCATGCTAACCACTACACTACCGCTCCCCACTAGCATAAGGATACATACACACACATGTACGTGGGTGCACACAAACTCATACATATACCTACTTGTTGTCCTGTACAGCACTTATTTCTAAATTTGTGGAGTGTTGAAAATGTCACGTGTACAGCGCTTTGTGATCTTTTCAATGAGAGGTGCTGTATAGACATAAATAATAATTATCATATTCTTGGTTCTTTCGGTAAAGTCACGTAGAAGGCAAATAATAAAATAATAAAACATAATGAAATAAAATTCTCACGACGTTTCGGCCACAACACGAGCAGCCGTCCTCAGGTGAAGAAACAGAACTGTCGGAAAGACAGCGCTCCAATGAACACTGCTAAGCTTGGCAGCATATTTTAAGCTGGGTGGGAGGAGCAGAGCGCCTAGACAAAGGAGTTTACATATCAACAGAAGAATTTAGCATTGAAGTAGCTGTGTTAATGTGAGAGATTAGCAGGATGCTAATGTCAGAAATTAGCATGTAACTGGGAGATTAGCATGATGTTAATGTGAGGAATTAGCATGTAACTGGTCACAGAAGTAGCTATGTTAAAGTCAGAGTTTACATATCAACAGAGGCATTTAGTATATTGACGCTTTAAGAACTGCAACTACCCAACTATCATACAATAAACCGATGTGAAAGAACTAAATATAAACTACATCAATATAATCAATGTACTCAATATATTCTCCAATACGCTGAGCTACTAACAATACGTCATTATACATTACGCTTCTATGTCGCAAAATTATTATAATATGCCTCCAACTAATCTTGTTTCTTACATCTCATGACTATACCCCGTATTATAAACTGCCATAGACAGACCCCAACATTGAATTATACACTGCGTTACTATACACTACCCTATACCTTAGATTATAATAATATTAGACTTGTAATATTACACTATGTATTATTTTACCAACCCTACTGTATACCACACTGCTGTATATTCACTATACAATTACGATACTATGTATTACCAAATAAATGTTATTAAACATTACACTGAAAGGTACTAAGAGATTAGCAGGATGTTAAGGTGAAAATGAGCATGTAACTGGGAGATTAGCATGATGTTAATGTGAGGAATTAGCATGTAACTGGTCACGGAAGTGGCTATGTTAAAGTCAGAGTTTACATATCAACAGAGGCATTTAATATATTAATGCTAAAGAACTGCAACTACCCAACTATCATACAATAAACCGATGTGAAATAACTAAATATAAACTACATCAATATAAGCAATGTGTGTTTGTATATGTGGATGGCCTCATGAACGAATCTCTCATGGTAGCCGGATGCATCTCCGACCAGGAACACATTGCCAGTGAACTCAAGCACGTACACCAAGCTCTCAAGGCTAATGGTTACTCCGACTACACAATCCGCAAAGCCATCACTCCAACCATGAAGAAGGATCCTCTTGAGGAGCCATTCAAAACCATCACTTTACCCTACATTGCGGGGGTCACAAAACAATTCTCCAAAATCCTGAATAAATACAAGATCCAGGTCCGATTGAACACATTACATAAACTCCATGATCTGATTCTGTCTGTAAAAGATGTGATTCCAGACATACAGTACCCTGGTGTCTACAAACTAAGTTGCCTCTGTGGTAGCAGTTACATTGGAGAAACCAAACGACATGTCTCGGACCGCATCCGTGAACATAAAACAGATCTGAAACACGGTAGGACGAACACCTCGGCCGTGGCAGATCACTGTTGCTCACATGACATTGACTTCTCCAAGACGGAGGTTCTCTGCAAGCCATCCGGCTACCATGAGAGATTCGTTCATGAGGCCATCCACATATATAAACACAGAGACAATTTCAACCGAGAAGATGGATTCTGGCTCAGTAATCATTGGAAGGACGTGATAAACCATTTCAGTTCTTGATTGATTGTATTTTACGGTGACTTTCAGACCGCAGTCCATTCGCTGGCATTGCCTCATAATACCTTTCACACAACGGTCAATGGTATGGTTTATAGCATGTTGTTTAATAATAAATAGCACAACAGTGTAAAGTTTAATATAATTTATATCGTAATTGTATAGTGAATATACAGCAGTGTGGTATAAAGTAGGGTTGGTAGAATAATACATAGTGCAATATTACAAGTCTAATATTATTATAGTCTAAAGTATAGGGTAGTGTATAGTAACGCAGTGTATAATTCAATGTTGGGTGCTGTCTATGGCAGTTTATAATACGGGGTATAGTCGTGAGATGTAAGAAACAAGATTAGTTGGAGGCATATTATAATATTTTTTGCGACATAGAAGTGTAATGTATAATGACTTATTGTTCGTAGCTCAGCTTATTGGAGAGTATATTGAGTATATTGATGTATATTCTTAGTTTTTTCGGTAAAGTCACGTTGAAGAGAAACAACAGAATAACAAAATATATATAAAACAATAAAAAATTCTCACGTTTCGACCATAACTCAAACGGTCATCATCAGGTGTGTCGGTTCACTATATGGTAGTCATTATATAGTGTAGTGTATACTCAATTACCTGCTAATCTCTCGCATTAACATAGCTACTTCAATGCTAAATTATTCTGTTGATATGTGAACTCCTTTGTCAAGGCGCTCTGCTCCTCCCACCCAGCTTAAAATACGCTGCCAAGTTTAGCGGTGTTCATTGGAGCGCTGTCTTTCCAACAGTTCTGTTTCTTCACCTGAGGACGGCTGCTTGTGTTGTGGCCAAAACGTCGTGATAATTTTATTTTTATTAGGTTTGATATTTATTATTTTATTATTTCCCTTCTACGTGACTTTACCGAAAGAACCAAGAAGATGAATTCCTGCAGTCACGAAAGCTTTAAATCGAAAATAATGATCATTATTACTGACTACTTGTCTCTCTGACCAGTGTATCTGTCTCACTGATCCCTGACACATCTGTCTCCATGTCCCCTGTATCTCCCTGACTCCTGACGCCCCACGTATGCCTGACCCTGACCTCCATGTCTCTATGACCCCTGTGACCTCCTGACCTCTGGGTGTTCCTGACCCCTGCATCCTCCGGACCCCTGACCCCAGTGTCCTCCTGACCCCTGTGTCTCCCTGACCTGTGACCCCTAGCCTGGCGGTGGCAGCCATCCCGGAGGGGCTACCCATCGTGGTGACGGTGACGCTGGCGCTGGGCGTGATGAGAATGGCCGCCAAGAACGCGGTGGTGAGGAGACTGCCCACGGTGGAGACACTTGGTGAGGTCGCCCGCTCATCAGAGACTCACCCGCTCAGAGACTCACCCGCTCAGAGACTCACCCGCTCAGAGACTCACCCTCTCAGAGACTCACCCGCTCAGAGACTCACCAGCTCAGAGACTCACCCGCTCAGAGACTCACCCGCTCAGAGGCTCACCCGCTCAGAGACTCACCCGCTCAGAGACTCACCCTCTCAGAGACTCACCCGCTCAGAGACTCACCAGCTCAGAAACTCACCCGCTCAGAGACTCACCAGCTCAGACACTCACCCACTCATCAGACACTCACCCGCTCAGAGACTCACCCGCTCAGAGACTCACCCGCTCAGAGACTCACCCGCTCAGACTCACCCGCTCAGAGACTCACCCGCTCAGAGACTCACCCTCTCAGAGGCTCACCCTCTCAGACACTCACCCTCTCAGAGACTCACCAGCTCAGAGACTCACCCGCTCAGAAACTCACCCACTCATCAGACACTCACCCTCTCAGAGACTCACCCGCTCAGAGACTCACCCGCTCAGACTCACCCGCTCAGAGACTCACCCTCTCAGAGACTCACCCGCTCAGAGGCTCACCCTCTCAGACACTCACCCTCTCAGAGACTCACCAGCTCAGAGACTCACCCGCTCAGAGACTCACCCACTCATCAGACACTCACCCTCTCAGAGACTCACCCGCTCAGACTCACCCGCTCAGAGACTCACCCGCTCAGCCTCGTCGGAGGCTCGCCCACCCCGACGGCAGCGGCTTGTCGTGGCGCCGACGCCCGAGCCGGCGGCCGACTGATTGCCCTTTGCCCTTTCACCTCTCAGGTTGCTGTGACGTCATCTGCTCCGACAAAACGGGAACACTCACATCGAACGAGATGACCGTCACCCGAGTGTTCACGTCAGAGGGGCTGCTGGCTGAGGTATCCGCGTCATCGCCATCGTAGTCATCATCGGCACCATCATCATCACCATCATCAGCACCATCACTGCTGTCAAGCTTATTGCCACTGTCATCATCGTCGTTGTTTGTCGTAGCATTATCGTCGTCGTCATCGTCATCATCTTTATCATCAGCATTAGAAGCAGCAGCAGCGGCGTCAGCGCCACTATCATTAGCACCACCATTATATTCATCATCATCATCTTTATCATCGGCACTAGAAGCAGCGGCAGCAGCAGCATCAGCACCACTATCATCATCATCACCATTATATTTATCATCATCTTTATTATCGGCATTAGGACCAGGAGAATCATCAGCGCCAACTATCATCATCAGCAGCAGCACCACTGAGATCACCATCGTGGCGGTTATCATCACGAGAGCTGCCTCCACTCGAGGCCCTTCCGGCAGCGGTGGCGTGAGCCGGCAATAGCAGGGGCTGCGCCTTTGCCTCCACCAAGTTGCCCGCGTGCCCGACTCCGCGGCGGCACGCACAGCCGCTCGAGTTCGCCTCTGGGCCAATCAACTCGGCCGGCAGTCACAAGCCGGGTCCCGCCTCCAGTTTGTCCACGCCCCCCGCGGGGGAGCACCCTGGCGTGGCCGGATGACGCTCTCTCGCCGGGCTGCTGCTGCTGGGTGCTGCTGCTGCTGAGAGCTGCTGGGAGCTGCTGAGAGCTGCTGCTGCTGCTGAGAGCTGCTGCTGCTGAGAGCTGCTGCTGAGAGCTGTTGCTGCTGAGAGCTGCTGCTGCTGAGAGCTGTTGCTGCTGAGAGCTGCTGCTGCTGAGAGCTGCTGCTGCTGAGAGCTGCTGAGAGCTGCTGCTGCTGAGAGCTGCTGCTGCTGAGAGCTGCTGCTGCTGCTGAGAGCTGCTGAGAGCTGCTGCTGCTGAGAGCTGCTGAGTGCTGCTGCTGCTGCTGCTGAGAGCTGCTGCTGCTGAGAGCTGCTGCTGCTGAGAGCTGCTGCTGCTGAGAGCTGCTGCTGCCGAGAGCTGCTGGGAGCTGCTGCTGCTGCTGCTGGGAGCTGCTGCTGAGAGCTGCTGCTGCTGCTCAGAGCTCAAATGAGTACCTGTTGCGGTGCGTAAAAGCATCACCACTGGGGAGACAAAGGCGGCCGGGCGTGGGCTGGCCACCCACCCCCTTCGTGTGCCGTTCTGGCCTTCGTAGGTGCTCGCTCACAGCACTTGCCCCAACAGTCCGTTGAAGGCTAGCCGCGGGGATCTTTGGGGCCGTCCATAAATGATGTCACGCACCTTGGGGGGGGGGTCAGACATTTGTGACGATGTGTGACGAGGGGCGGGGGGGTTGAGAAATGTGACGTCACATCAAAATGAGCAACTTTAAATAAATATAGACAACACGTTCTACTTAATTAAATATACTTTTTTTAATAAATGTTATCGCCTACAACATCGGAGTGCAGCGCCACATTAAATACGCACTACAATGACAATAGTTTAAAGCGATTTGAAGCATGTTTTATTTTTTTTTTGGGGGGGGGGGAGGGCAGAGGGGGGGGTCGGACTTTTTGTGACGCCGTGAGACGATGGGGGGGGGGGAGGGGGGGTCAAAAATCGTCCAAAATCACATGACGTCATTTATGGACGGCCCCTTTGTCTTTGTGTGGGTCACGTGTGAGTGCGTGGTGCGTGTGCTGAGCGCGGGCGCCGCGTTGGCATTAGCAGGTGCTCGCTCGCAGCACTTGCCCCAACAGTCCGTTGAAGGCTACCCGGGGCATCTTTGTCCTTGTGCCTGTCGACGCAGGTGAGCGGCGTGGGCTACTTCACCCAGGGGGAGGTGACGATCGACGGACAGGCGCAGAGCGCGTCGTCAAACGCGACGCTGACTAAGCTGTGCGAGGTTTGTGTTTCAGGATGAGAAAAAAAAAACCCTTCCCACGAACACCCACCCCCACCTCTCTCTCTCTCTCTCGCGTGCGCTCCAACTACCGCAAGCACCGGTGCGTGAAGGTCACGTCGCAGTCGAATGTCAAGGCCGTACGGATTGCAGCGGCACCACCAGGGTGTTGCGTGGCGCGGATGGTCTGGGCTTCACCACGGTCGCGACATCGGCGAACCTTTGATTTTACCGTTGGTGGAACGACGTTGGACGCCGCGCATCTCCCGCGCTGCCGTCCGTGCACGGTTCAGTGCGGTCCACAGCCTTCCGACGTCCGGATACTCGCCCCGATAATAATAATAATAATGTGTTTGACGTTTCGACAAATACATTTTTTTATTGATCGAGCCATCGACTCCTCGACTCACGAACGAGTTAGGGTTCCAGAGGTCTGTTTCGGTAGTCGAATTTTTCGTAAGTCCAACCCTTTGCAGTAAAACTTCGCCACCGGGGAGACGAAGGTGGTCGGACGTGGCACTGCCCACGCACCCCCCCCCCCCCATCTCCCCCGCAAACTCGCGTGCCACCGTGCCGGCCGTCGTAGGCACTGGCCACGTCGTCCTGTGAAGGCCACACATTGGGGTGGGGTGGGGGGCGGCGGCGGGGTGGTGGTGGTGGTGGTGGAGGATCTCTGCGGAGAGTTGGGCTCCAGGCCAACGGGCTCCAGGCCAGGCGTTGTCACCGAGACCGGCGGAGCGAGAGGGGCCCGCCTCGCAAGTTTGATCGCCTCGCTGCTTTTGCCCGCCGGGTGATGAGTGGCGACGCAGTGCCCAGGCACGCCGAGTCGAGGACGCGGCGTCCCCTCCCGCTCGCTGCCACTCCAAGTGCCGCCAGCGAGTTCCACGTCCCAGCGTTGGCAGGGACCATCCTGGCCAATTCGTCTCGTGACTTAGTAAATGTGTGCGCGTGCGTGCGTGCGTACGTGCGTTGAGCTTCGTTCGCTCCGTACGTGGCCAACCGTGCTTATCGGAGGGCATTGGCGTGTTTATTATGAGACAAAAATAGCGACACGCTGGCCAACACCCCCCACCCACCCACCCCCGCGTGTGCCGTGCCAGCCTGAATAGGTGCACGCGAACAGGACTTGTCCCAGCAGGCTATGTGTGGGATCTTTGTGTTGTAGAGGGAGATTACAGGGGGAGAGGTGGGAGAGTGCGTGGAGGGGAGTTGAGTGAGGTGAGAGGGGAGAGGTAGGAGAGTGCGTGGAGGGGAGTTGAGTGAGATGAGAGGGGAGAGTTCGTCAGGCACGAATCCATGGAGGATCTTCTGGTTGGCGAGTGCCATGTTGAATTTGGTTCAGGATTGCACTGAAACAGACGCGTATTCGTATGTAACTGTGCGTGTGTGCACGTTTGTGTGCGTATGTGCGTCTGTGTGCGTGCGTCTGTGGGCGTGCGTCTGCGTGTGTGTGCTTCTGTGCGTGCGTGCGTCTGCGTGCGGCGCAGGTGGCGTGCGTGTGCAACGACGCAGTCTTGAGAGACGGGGTGCTCCTGGGCGCGCCCACGGAAGGGGCGTTACTGAACCTGGCAGCCAAGGTCAGGGATTGCTTCTGAAACCGGTGGCGGCGGTGGTGGCGGTGGTTTTTTTTTCTCTCCGTCGTTTTCTCCCCCTCAACTTTTTTTTTCTCATCTACACTATACTATATGCTACACTACTATACACTACACGACTATACACTACACTATACACTACACTATACTATATGCTACACTACTATACACTACACGACTATACACTACACTATACACTACACTATACTATATGCTACACTACTATACACTACACGACTATACACTACACTATACACTACACTGTACTATATACTACACTACTATACACTACACTACTATATACTACGCTACTATACACTACACGACTATACACTACACTATACCCTACTATATGCTACACTACTATACACTACACGACTATACACTACACTATACTATATACTATACACTACACTATACACTACACGACTATACACTACACTATACACTACACTATACTATATACTACACTACTATACACTACACGACTATACACTACACTATACACTACTATATATTACGCTACTATACACTACACGACTATACACTACACTATACACTACACTATATACTACACTACTATACACTACACGACTATACACTACACTATACACTACACTACTATTTGCTACACTACTATACACTACACAATACACGACTATACGCTAAACTAAACACTACACCAAGGCCGTAATTATAATATATATTGGGGGGGGGGATGTGTCCCCCCCAATATATTGCTATAAAATAATTGCTATGCTTTGCAAATAAAAACAACAATTTGCTAAACCTTGGCCACAATATCTGGACTTGTCTTCATATAAATCAATGCATAGATTTATGTTTATATGATTGTGGTTATGGTTGTACTTTATTAATCCCTAATCTCTGCCATTACATACAATGAAGCAAGAAATGGTAAAAAAGTAAAAACAGAGCAATGTAATACAATATACACTATTAGACATTATTGTGAAAAATATATAAAAAGTCCATCCCATGTGTTAGTGAATTTTTTGTTATATTTTAGGCAGGAAATGAGCTTTGAAATGTAAATGTTTTCTGGGTTGGGACCCCCACACACCCTGGAAGATTTAGTCCCCCCCAATGTTGTTGACTCCATGGCTACGGCCTTGCACTACACTATATATTACACTATACACTACGATACAGAGGGGTTGAACTGTATATGTGGAGTTTGCGTGTCTCTCTCTCCCCATGGTCGCGTGGTTTTTCTCTGGGTCCTTCAGTTATTCCCTCCACATGTAGAATCAACACCGTGCGTTTGTCGAGTGTTTGGATGCTGTACATTTCCACACGATGTATGGTCAGCCACTTCGTTGAGCTCTCGTTTGCGATGGCCAGGTGGCTTCTGAAACAGAGCTATGCAGCTCAGTGGGTCCTTAAATGGTAAAATAAAAAAAACAATTGCTGAGTTTAGTTGATAGATGATGTCACGTGACACTCTACTCCACACGCATTAGGGGGCAGCCCTTCCTCAGCCGCCTCGCCATCGAGAGTTAATGTCGTTCACGTGATGGTAAAAGCTATATCTTTTTTAAATTATCATCAAGAGCAAATTTTTGTTGCCAAATTAACTAAATTAATGCATGTATTTGTGTGTGTGTGAAATGTAGCTGAGATAATCAACTCACCATACTTGAGAATGCAATTATCCCCCCCCCCGTCCACCATTTAATGGCAAACTAATTATTTTACTGTAGATCCGGTAGTGAGTCACAATGCCACACAGGGACAGCTGCCACTGGATGTCCCCTAGGCTAGACCACACAGCAGCGATCATCGCCCCCTGCTGGCAAGAGTAACGCCCGCTCAGAGACCCGGTTCCGAGTCACCTTGTGCCGCGCGGCGACAGCTGCCACCGGGGGTGCCCTTGCGAATGCGCTGGGTTTGGGATGCAGAGTCGCTCGTCGCGCTTAAAGCTCTCCGAGACGCGGCGGCATGAAGGAGGGCGACTCCATGGACCGCTAATAATTATTATAACTATTAATCGGAGTTTAAAGATTTATTGAGACTGGAGGAATCCGATGAGCTATAAAGTTAGTTTTTTACAGATGTCCAGTCAGGGGCACGGGGTCAGAACGTTACACAAATAAACAATACAAAAACACGAAAGGAGCGCAAAGTATAGGAAAGGTAAACAAATCACTTAAAAAAATACAAATAAAACTAAACTATTTTTTTTTATGTTACCAGGTAAAGCCCACTGAGCCTCTGGCCACAATCCACACCTCCGATTAGCACGGTTGGCTACGTACGGTGCGAGAGAAGTTCAACACAACATGCGTGCAAATGACAGCGCATCGAAGCGGCCTATCACGTGGAAATTCATCGCGTCAAAATAATCAAAAACAATCTAAATGCATGTATACTCTTTGGTTCTATTCGGTAAAAATAACAAAAATCACGACGTTTCGGCCATGATTTTTGTTATTTAATTTTTTACCTACGTGACTTTACCGAATAGAACCAAAGAGTATGGATCCTTGCAGGCACGAAAGCTTCAAATCTAGAATTAAATGCATGTAACCCAGGTCGCGCTCTTACCAAAAGGGGGGGGGGGTGGGCGGGGGGGGGGGGGGTGGGCGGGGGGGATCAACGACGAAGTTTCACGCATCGCGACGGTTTTATATAATTACCGGGGGGCAATTATAGAACCAAACGACCGCTCTGACCGATACCCCGTGACGGTCCCCCTTGCGTCTGTTCCCCCGCAGCTCGGCGTCGGCGGCGTGAGGGATGAACACGAGCGCATCGAGGAGGTCCCGTTCAGCTCCGAGCGCGGCTGGATGGCCGTGCGCTGCATGTCCACCACACAGAGGGTGAGGCGATGTGACGACATCGTCTTCGTCGTCTTCGTCGTCGTCGTTGTCCTTATTGTCGTCATCATCGTCATCTGCATCCTCGTAGTCGTTATCGTCGTTATCGTCGTCCTCATTGTCGTCATTGTCGTCATCGTCAACATCGTCGTCATCGTCGTCATCGTCGTAATTGTCGTCATCGTCATCATCGTCGGCCGCATCCTCATTGTCATCGTCGTCATCGCCATCGTACGCATCGTCATCACCATCGTACTCATCGTCATCATCATCATCATCCGTCATCATCTGTCACAATCAATCTACTGCTGGACAAAGGCCCTAACTCGAAACGTCGCCATATCTCATCACGATCCCACGATGCAATAATCCACACGGCACCTGCACATTGCACTGATTTTGTCGCTTCGTGTCCTTGGTGGAAGTACTCGAGGAGACGTTTCCCTCCTTTGGCTGCCACTCTGTTTTCATCCTTGACCATCAGCCACCACCTCCACTTTTGTTAATCAAACGGGATACACTGGGGCACCTGTCGCTGAACTAACCCGCTGTTCGGACGACGTGCTGTGAGTGACATTGCAAGCTGTGAACGGGCTACATTGCCCCTTCGTGGAAATACCGTGGTGGTTGTTGTTGTTGTTGCTGTTGTCGAGAGCACGGACATACCGGGGCACGCGGCGCTCTCTCTCTGTGTGGTGCAGGCTCCACGTGGAGCGTTCTTCGTGAAGGGAGCGTGCGAGCGCGTGCTGGAGCAGTGCCGCTCCTACAGCAGCCACGGGCTCGCGGTGGCACTCACACCGCAGGTGTGCGACAGCTTCCACCGCCAGAGGATGGCTCTTGGCAGCCAGGGCCTCCGAGGTGACGGCGGCACGCACACGCACGGGCACACACGCGCACGCACGCACACGCACGCACACGCACGCGTACGAACGTGCACACTCGCGCACGCACGCGCACGCACGCGCATGCGCACGCACGGGCACACACACGCACGGGCACACACACGCACGGGCACGCACACGCACGGGCACACACACGCACGCACGCGCACGCACGGGCACGCACACGCACGCGTACGAACGTGCACACTCGCGCACACGGGCACACACGCACGGGCACACACAAGCACACGAACGCGTACGAACATGCGCAATCGCACACACACGCAAGCACACGCGAGCGCATGCACACGCACGTACACACACGTATACATGCATGTACACACACACGGGCACGCACGCACGTGCACACACACACACACACGCGTACACACGCATATGCACCAGGGTTCGAATCCCGCTCGCGGTCAACACCAATGACGATTATCTGAACCGGGCCTGTGCATCACCTAGGTCGACTCGACCTCAAATAAGCAGCTGGTGCGATGTGTTAAACATCGCCACTGGGGAGACAAAGGTGGCCGGGCGTGGCACTGGCCACCCACCCCCTCGTGCGCCATACAGGCCTTCATAGGTGCTACTTGCTAGCAGCATCAACAGTCTGTTGAGGCTACACGGGGGACCTTTGTCTTTGTGCACAGTGCTGGCACTCGCGAGTGGGCAGGAGCTGGGCCGCCTCACCTTCCTGGGCCTCGTCGGGATGATGGACCCCCCGCGGCCCACGGTGCCCGACGCCGTCGCCACCCTCCAGCGCTCCGGGGTGACCGTCGTCATGGTTACCGGCGACGCCATGGAAACCGCTGTTGCCATCGGTAAACACGGGTTGGACGTGAACGCATCGGCCCTGTAACGGGGATCGCGATAGCGCTCGCAAAGTTCATTAAACGTGAACCAAACTTGAGTGTGAAGTTCTGTTTGCTATTCGGGACCAGCCCCGTATAAAATCGGCCAAATTGATCAAAGTGGCTGCCCAGAACTTGGGGGGAGGGGGGGGGAGGAAAATAAACAAAGCAAAAAGGCCTCGCCTCGGTGTCAAGGAAGGCCCTGCCGTGATCCCAGCCCCGTGGGACATACTGCCCCATGCGTGCCTGGGTATGAGCGCGACTCTTATCGTCATTACCACCATGAACTACTTCCGACCCTTGACGGGGGAGCATTCGACCTCCGGGGAAGCGTCACCGAAGCCGCGCGTGAGCGCGATTTTTGCACTGCCCTATATTCGGCTCCGCCTGAACGATCCCCCCTGTTTTTTTTTGGGGGCGGGCGCTCGCGACGGCAACCGCGCGCTAACCACCGGTCCCCACCTGGTGTGCCCGCGCGCTCGAAGGGAGATCGATGGGCTTGTACGGCGAGGGCAATCGCAAGATGTCCGGCGAGGACATCGACAACATGGAGCTCCCGGAACTGGCGGCTGCCGTCGAGAAGGTGGGTCGCGCCCTCCTGGCACCGTCGCTCTCTCGCGCGCTCGGGGACACGCGGTCGGCTCGCTCGATCGACGGCCCGAAGGGGGGGGGTGGGCGTGGGGGGGGGGGGCGGGGGGGGGGCTGAAGCTTACGCCGATTAACGATTGGGATAGAGTCAAGAGGCTGCATCCGGGGGGTATAAGGGTGACGCCGGGAAGCCTCGTTTTTAATAATAATTCTTTATTTATAACGCGCATTCTATCCCACGATCTCGATGCGGAATGCACGGAACGCAGGAAACAAAAACGGAACCGGGGGGTCAACCGACCAAACTAAAGAGGGAAGGACACTTTTAAGAGATGGGTTTTCAAAGCGGATTTGAATATATCTACCGACTCCCATTGCCTGATGTCAAGTGGCAAGGCGTTCCATAGCTTGGGTGCCACGCGAACAAGAGCCCGATCGCCAAGAGAGCGCAACCCAGACCTGGGAGTATTGGGCAGTTGGAGATCAGAAGATCTTATGGACCTCGATGGAACAAGCGAAGGAGCAATGTGGGAGTCGTGAACCGGGTTGACATTCGTGGAGGATCATCGGTACAACGCTGCCCAGGTGCCAGGGTCTCCGTGTTCACACGATGGGTTTGCGTTCACGGTGCTGATCGTTACGATTAGTTTTATTCTCATGCAGGCAACGAATTAAGTTGCACAAGCACTATGAACGATTGGATGCAAATCTAAACTATGAAACTCAAAATGTTTTTTTGCTTTATCCGGTGAGGTCAACTGAGCTACACAGCTATTTTTTTTTCAGAAGCGACCTGGCCACAAATGATAGCTCAACGAAGTGACTTATCTTGCGGACATTTGTTGCAGTCAAATACTCTGAACGCGCGATGTCGATTCTAAATACGGAAGGGAAAAACCGTAGGACCCAGGAGAAAAATCCACGCGACCACGGGGAGAGAGGCACGCACACTCCAAATATACAGGCATCATCAGGGTTGGGGTCGACCCCATGACCTCTTGCATACTAGGCGAGGGAGTTAACATCTCACCACCGCGGCGCCCCTCACCTTGCTTAAATAGGGGTGGTGAACTATGACCTCAACTTGAAACGTCCCAAGGAGGTTGTCGGTCCAGAACTTTCTTGTATTTGAAACAGCCCCTTACACGAATGGCAGAGATTCTGAGTTCTGCTGGGAACCCGTGAGTTCACTGAAGCCACGACTCAGAATCTAACTCTTTTTCGCTCGCAGGTCACGATCTTCTACCGCACGAGCCCTCGTCACAAGCTCAAGATCGTTAAGGCGAGTTGAGTGTGCTCCATAATGCCCATGGCATTATGGATTTTTTTCTTTCTTTTTCTTTCAAACCAAGTAGAGTCCGTCCACTGAGTCGTGAGTTCTTTGTCAGAGGCGACCTGGCCACACGTGATTGGTCATTGACGTGGCTTATATCATTGTTGTCATCAACAACAAAAACAACAACAACAACCGCCATTTGCCACTAAGTGGCGGTGACGTCACAACGACGCTTGTGCCAGGCCACGTGCAAAGCCACCACCGCCCGGCTATGTGCATATAGAGGTCTGGGTTACAGCAGGTGCATTATGCCAGTCATCTCAGTCAGCCAACTCATGGCACCTGGGTCTGTCCCGTGAACCTCCTCTCAGCGAGCTCTTCGACACATTACGTGGCCCAAGAGTGCACCTGGCCTGATACAGGCGCCATGGTGACGTCACCTGTCACTTAGTGGCAAACAGTGGATACTGTATTGGCATTGGTGCGCACACGTGACCCACAGGAGCGGCAGCGTGGCGGCACGCCGCGCCGCGCTACGAACCCGGCGAACCCCGGGGTTCGATTCCCGCTCACGGCCGCAAAAACACCGGCGGTGACGATTATATCTGAACCGGTCCTGGGGCCTCCCTCCCCTAGGCGCTGCTTGCTGGCGGCACTCGCCCCCGCAGTCCGTTAACGGCCATGCGGTGGCGGGGTGGTGGATCTCGGCGTTCCGTAGGCATTCCAGCTGAGGGGCGCCGTGGTGGGCATGACGGGCGACGGCGTGAACGACGCGGTGGCGCTGCGCGCGGCCGAGATCGGCGTCGCCATGGGCCTCTCGGGCACCGACGTGTGCAAGGAGGCGGCCGACATGATCCTCCTGGACGACGACTTCAGCACTATCCTGTGAGACACAGCCCCCCCCCCCCGCTCCCCCCGCTCCCCCCGCCCACCAACCCCTACCACCCCCACCACCACCAACCACATCGTTATAGCGAGCAAACGCGCCCCGCACCCCCCACTCCTACCCCCGCTGTCATCGCCATAATACATCGATCACCATAATCACCGCTCACAAGCAGCGATCTCCATCGCCGCCATGATCACTCACCGCTCGCAAACAACGATCGTCTTCTGGAAGAGATGAGTCTGACCAGTGGGTGGTGGTGTCTTTTGTCCTCTGGGTGGAGGCCATGCATTGCTGCGGAGACACCGTCTTCTGAAAGAGATGAATCTGAACAAACTGGATTCAAAACACTCCTTCGAGAAGACACGGCACCTTCACAACTTTTGAAATCCACGGAGTGTGTCGTGGTCTGGAGAATACGGTTAAAAATTTATCGCGATTTATGTAACAAACCTCGTTTTTGTCTTCCCCAGGTCCGCGATTGAGGAAGGCAAGGGAATTTTTCACAACATCCGCAACTTTGTAAAGTTTCAGCTCAGCACGTGAGTATCAGCGGAAATTCCATTTTACTATGGTGGGGACCAGTTTATCTACAGGACGGCCACTGATTGACTCATTGATTCATTGATGTAGTGACGGATTTATTGAATGACTGAATGAATTATTTGATGGCTGATTGACACGGTAATTAATTGACTTAATTACTCTATCGGCTGCCCACCTAACTCACATACTGACCAATAATTATTGATAACATCAATGACCCATTGACGACCTGACTGAGAAATAGATTCAAAGAATGACACATTACATTCAAAGATGAAGGAACTCACTGATTGCTGATTCAATGAATACCAACACCAACACCCGCCATTCGCCACTAAGTGACGGTGACGTCACCACGGCGCCTGTGCCAGGCGAGGTGCACTTTGAGGCCACGTGAAGTGTCGAAGGCTCACTGGCAGGAGGTCACGGGACACCCCAGGTGCCATGGCTTGGCTGACTGAGATGACTGGCAGATGCACCAGCTGTACCCCTTCCTGTGCCAACTTTCAATTAAACGAATAACCCGTTATACTCACCCACTCATTATTTCAACAATCCATTGCCTCACCCAACCACCAATTGATTATTGATGATTATCCAATCACTCGCCAACTAGTCGTTGATTAATTGAGCGACCCACTGACTCACGTGCCCTCTGCTTATTGCTTAGTTGAATGACCAGTTGACTCGCTTACTCCCTCACCCCCACTGATTAATTACGGACTAAGTGAATGACCTCGATGAACGACTCACAGACTCACTCTTCTCCCTCCGTCACCGTCTCGCTGGCAGGAGCATGGCTGCCCTGAGTCTGATCGCCATCACGACGCTGCTTGACTACCCCAACCCACTCAACGCCATGCAGATCCTGTGGATCAACATCATCATGGACGGACCCCCCGCTCAGAGGTACGGATTCTGGGCCCCCATCTCCTTAGGGGTAGAGTAGGAGAGGTGGGGAGTCGTGGCAGATGGCCAGAGGCATGGGGCCATTGCGGTATGGGTGGTTTTTCCACTGGCTATTTGCTGAGCTTAGCCAGAACCAAGCCAGGTTGCGTATGTATGTTGTTGAACTTCTTTCACACCGTACGTAGTCAACCGTGCTAATCGGAGGTGCTGGGGAAGGACAACAAACTAAACACAAAAAAGCAGTTTTAAAGAAATTAGTTTTAAATCTAGGCTTGAAAGTGCATAGCTCCAGTGGCTTCCTACGATGTCCAAATCTGGCTCGGGGCCCAGCAGGGCCGGGCGGGGGGGATAATGACCCGTTGACTTGCGTACGACATTAGCGGCACGGCTTCTGCAGTGGAAAAACAGCCGGGAGGGAGCCTGCTGAGCCGAGCCGGGCCCGGCTGTTGCGCAATAGAAAATATGTAAAAGTGCACCTTGTGTATGTGTGCGTGTGTGCGTGTATGCGTGTGTGCGTATGTGTGTGGGGAGCGATAGTGTAGCGGTTAGCGCGCTACGCTATAAACCCGGCAAACCTGAGTTCGATTCCCGCTCACGGCCAACACCAGTGACGATTATTTGTACCGGTCCTGGGCCTCCCCTAGGTCGCCTCAAATGAGTACCGTGTGCAGTGTGTAAAAATCGTCACTTTAGGGACAAAGGCGGTCGGGCTTGGTGCTGGCCATCCACCCCCTTCATAGCTGCTCGCTAACAGCACTCGCGCCAACAGTCTCTTCAGACTATTCGAGGAATCTTTGTCTTCGTGTGCAGTTATGCGCGTGCCGTACTGTGCTACGGACCCGGTGACTCGAGTTCGATTCCTGCTCATGACCTATAACGGTGGTTGATATATACATGAGCCGGTCCTGGGGCCTCCCCTAGATCGACTCAGCCTCAAACAAGTACCTGGTGCGACGTGTTAACAAAGGCGGCCGGGGACAGTGCTGGTAACACCGTCCCCCATGTGTGCTCTCATAGGCGCTGCTACTTGCTAACAGCACTTGCCCCGAGAGTGTGTTAAGGCTATACGGTGGGATGGGGATCTTTGTCTCTGTGCGCCACAGTCTGGGCGTGGAGCCCGTGTGTGCCGACGTGGTGCGGCTGCCCCCGCGACGCCGAGGGGAGCGCATCATCACGCTCAGCCTCCTCTTCCGCACGCTCATGTCGGCCGCCATCATCACCAGCGGGACCCTCTACGTCTTTTGGAAGGAGGTCAGCTGACGTGCGTGCACGTGCGTGTGTGGGGAGCGGACAGTCATCCCAGTCAGTCAACCAATGGCACCTGGGTTCTGTCCTGGTGACATCACAGTCACTTAGTGGTAAATGGCGGCTGTTGTTGTTGTCGTTGGAGCGGTAGTCCAGCGGTTAGCGTGCTGCACTACGAACCTGGCGACCCGAGTTCGATTCCCGCTCACGGCCACCAACACCAGTGACGATTTGCGGAACCGGTCCTGGGCCTCCCCTGGGTCAATTCAGCCTCAAATGAATACCTGTTGCATGCTATGTGTAAACATCGCCACCGGGGAGACAAAGGGCAGCCGGGCGTGGTGTTGGCCACCCACCGCCTCATGTGCCGTACCAGCCTCACACAGGTGCTCCCTAACAGCACTTACCCCAAAAGTCTGCAAAGGCTATACGGGGACATCTCTCTCTTTGTTATATTTACAGCTGCCATTCTCACACCACTGCTCTGTCTCTCTCTCTCTCGACCACCCCGCACAGATGCAAGATGGTCACGTGACGTCCCGCGACACCACCATGACCTTCACGTGCTTCGTGTTTTTCGACATGTTCAACGCTCTGGGTTCCCGGTCACAGGCGAGTTTCTCCCCCCCCCCAACCCCTCCCGCCCACCCTGGCACCGCTGGACGCTCGGTGAAACTTTGACGGCAACCTTTTCCCGGGCAACTGCCACCGGCGACGAAATTCTATCGTGGTCGGCTACGGCGAAGGGGTCGGCAAGCTGCGGCTCCAGACCCGCTTCGTCCACGTTATTTACGAGGGACCTCCGTCTCCTTTGCACCACGGTGCATTGCGGTACCTTGAAATGTAAAGTTTTTGTTTTTGTTCACCAAATTCGTAGAAGCAAAAATTGGTTCTTCTTATTAAAGCTTTCGTGACTGGCAGGGATTCATATTCTTGGTTCTTTCGGTAAAGTCACGTAGAAAGGGAAATAATACAATAATACAAATACAAAACAATAAAATTCTCACGACGTTTCGATTGCAACACAAGCAGTCATCGTCAGGTGTGAAAACCACAGCAAGTAATGTTTTTAAAAAAGTGGCGGTTATTTTCGTTGCCGACCCCAGAGCTACGGCAACTGGGTAGGGCAGTGGCATAGATCAGGAGTGGCTGAGGATGACCCACCACTTCATACGGCCACCAATTCATTTTGTGCGACCGGCTGCCCCCGTGAGGCCTACTGCTTGAACACAAATGGCCGGCAAACCCCGTCTGTGACTTCAAGCACTAATCTCCGATTAGCAAGGTTGGCTACGTACGGTGCGAAAGAAGTTCAACATACATACGTACGTACTAATCGAAGGAAGTCCCAGCACTGGTTCAGATTATAATCATCACCGATGTTACTAGGGTCGCCAAGTTCGTAGGCCCAGTGCATTAACCACTATGGCACCGGTGCCCTCATTATGTACAAAGACAAAGATCCCCCGTATAGCCTTAATAGACTGTTGAGGCAAGTGCTGTTAGCGAGCACCTATGAAGGCCAGAACAGTACACGAGGGGGTGGGTGGCCAGCATCACGCCCGACTTCCTTTGTCTCCCTCGTGGCAATGTTCACACACCGCACCAGGTACTAGGGGAGTCGACCTAGGGGATGGCCCAGGACGAGTTCAGATAATCGTCACTGGTGTTGGCCGTGAGCGGGTATCGAACTCTGGTCGCCGGGTTCGTAGCGCAGCGCACTAACCACTACCCTGCCGCTCCCCACACACACAAAAAGCAAAGACAAAGATCCCCCATATAGCCTTAACAGACTCTAGGGGCAAGTGCTGTTAGCGAGCACCTATGAAGGCCGGAACGGTACACGAGGGGGTGGGTGGCCAGCACCACGCCCAACCGCCTTTGTCTTCCCAGTGTCGATATTTACACATTGCACCAGGTACTCATTTGAGGCTGAGTCGACCTAGGGGAGGCCCAGGACCGGTTCAAATATTCATCACCGGTGTTGGCCGTGAGCGGGAATCGAACCCGGGTCGCCGGGTTCATAGCGTAGCGCACTAACCGCTACACTGCCGCTGTCCACACACGCACACACACGCGTACTCTCCACGCACACGAACACGCGTGCGTGTGCTCGTGCGCTTGACTCCCGCAGACCAAGACGGTGTTCGAGATCGGGTTTCTGACCAACAAATTCTTCCTGGTGTCGGTGCTCGGCTCGCTGCTGGGACAGCTGGCTGTCATCTACCTCCTGCCCCTGCAGAAAATCTTCCAGACCACGTACCTGTCGCCCCTCGGTGAGTCCCACGCCCATCCACTTCCCGTGGATCTTCTTATCTTATCATCTTAAATGAATTTATTACAGCATCGACTTAACCACGGTGCTTTGCAAGAAATTGACAGTGGTGCACGTGAATGTAGTGGTGGAGATGAGGCGAAAGAAATAGATGAGAGGAAGGAATGGGGGCAAATCTGTGATGCCTGAATTTTGTGGAAGCGATATTGATGTCGGTAAATGGTGATGAATGGATTAAATGAACGGGGAATGAGTGATAGCCGTATAATGAGATTATGAAGAGGGAAAACTAGCGGCGGCGGTTAAGGGATCATCGGGTGAGCTTGGGAAAATTAAACGAGTTTTTAGTGCGGAGCGGAAACTAGTGAGCGAAGGTGACCGCTCAATGTGGAGGGGGAGGTTTGTTGCAGTGAAGGGGGGCAAGAAGGGAAAAAGAGCGACAGATCGAACTCACGATTCCGGTTGGCTCAGGGGTCAGAGATGTCACCGATTAGGTGCTGCTTCAAATGTGCCGCGGTGGCGACATGTCAACGCTGTGGGGAGCACAGGCGGTGCATCTCGCATCATCTAACCAGAGGAATGTGGAATTCCCACCACCGGCTCTGGGACTGTGAACCGGAGATGCGCACCGCCTCCTCAGTGCTAATTGAGCGCCACGGTGGTGAGATGTTAGCTACCTCGCCTGACATAGAAGAGGTCGTGGTGTTCCATTCAGACCCTGACACCTGCTGCATATTTGGATCTTACGGTAAAGTGACGTAAATTTTGATTTAAAGCTTTCGTGACTGCAGGGATTCATATTGTTTCATATTTATATTATTTTATTGTTTCCCTTCTACGTGACTTTACCGAAAGAACCAAGAATATGAAGTCACGTAGTTAGAAATAAAATAAAATAAATCACGACGTTTCGATCGCAACACAAGCGGTCGTCGTCAGGCAAAGGAGTCCTGCAGTCACGAAAGCTTCAAATAAAGATTGCATATTTGGAGTTTACGTGTCTCTCTTTCTCTCCGTGGTCGTGTAGATTTTTTATCCGGGTGCTCCGTTTTTCCCCTCCACATTTAGAATCAATGTCACGCGTTCAGAGTATTTGGTTGCCAAACAATTCCACGCGACGATGAGCCACTTGGTTGAGCTATCATCTGTGGCCAGAATCGCTTCTGAAAAAGAGCTACATAGCTCAGTAGGCCTTACCAGGTAAACATTTTAAAAAATAGTTTACATGAATCGTTTGTTCAATAACATACTTTTGGAAAGGGATATTATTAATTCAAATCACTCCCCCCAACCACCCCTCCCTCCACCCCTACCCCTCCCCCCACCCCCCACACACAAAAAAACTGTGATATTTTTTTATTGATTTGAAGCTTTCGTGACTGCAGGAATCCATACTCTTTGGTTCTTTCGGTAAAGTCACGTGGGTAGAAAATAAATCACGACGTTTCGGGCGCAACACAAGCGTCCATCATCAGGTGGGAAAGCATGGACTGCTGAAAGAACCAAAGAGTATGATTTTTTTTTAATCGATTGACATTCATCATTTGTGTGTGTCCCCCCCCCCCTCCCTCGCCCCACGTGACCCCAAATATTTTCTCCCCGCAAAAAAAAAAAATCATCCACAGACCTCCTGTTCCTCGTGGGAATCTGCTCGTCGGTGTGGATCGCCAACGAACTGGAGAAGAAGCTGGAGTGCTTCGTCAGGGCTCGCTGGTGCGGCAAACGAAAGGGGGCGGCCAGCGGTGTCAAGGACGATGTCGATGACTCTGCTGCTGTCGCTGCCGCCGAGGCCGGTGCTGCCGCCGATGCCAGAGGGAGCTCGAACGCGGCGGGGAGCAAAGTGCACATCGCCGTTCCCATACTGTCGGCTTGAGCCGGGCTCTGCTCAGTGTGGGGTTCTCAGGAATTTGCGTGCGACGGGAAGGCCGTGCCGCCGTGACCGTCGCACGTGCCCGTCTCTTCCTTCCTCCTGCCGCATCCTGCAGATGTCGCGCAGGTGACGTCAGACCTTCAAGGACCTTACGGTCTTGTCGCTGCCGTTTATCTGGCTCTCGGTCTTTTTTCAACGGTTTTACTGAAATCTTGTAATCAAAATTTCGTCCACTTCCCGTTGTCCAATCAATTCCAAAAATTTGCACACGTACTCAGATCCGGTGACAATGCATGCCTGCATCAATTAATTCACTACTTTAAAGCAATTTACATTTTATATATATATATTTGTGCAGGTGAAAAACGCCGCGGTCCCTAAACTCTGGAATTGCCTCGCCAAAGAAGCAGGCGCTACCACGTGTCTCAGGCGCGCCTTACTTGAATTTATTACAGAATTAATTAATTAAAGTAATCGTTGGTGTTGGAGCAGGTGCCGCATCATTGACGTACTTCTCGACCGTGAGTTAAACGAAGTTGTTCATGAAACCGTTATTTAAAAAAAAAACCTTTTTTTAAGGAGCTTATTAATTGTTCAAAAGTCATAGTCCTCCAAGGATCGCACTTAAAGACTCATCATCATATCTTCACCACCACCCCCCTCCCCCCCCATCTGGCTTGAGGTCTTCCCATTGTTACACGGTCGACATGTCCTTGAGGGACCTCTAAGTCTACCCCTTGATCACCAGCCACTAAGCGCCGCTCCACTGCCGGTCTTGTTTACCTGTCCTCCTCATCCCCCCCCCACACCACCCCTCCCTTTCCTCCACACCCCGCACACGGGCCGACGTTGGCCTGTGCCGTGGATGCGTCGCCGGGACCCGTCACGTTTCCGTGCCGAGCAAAGCGGAGATTTCGGAAGCTGTGATGGCGCCGTGGTCCATTGAGTCATTCGGATTCCATCGTGGGAGCTGAACTCGCAACACCTCGCCACAGCACCTCCGTTGCTTTCCCCCCTCCGCTTTTCCCGACCATCGATGCTCTCTCGAGGTGTATTCCCGTCACACCCCGAGCGACTTGTCCAAACTACCGCTGTTTCTGTCCATCTCTTGTGCTGAGCCGTCCAGACTTTTCGCCAGTCTCCCCTAGGGCGCTTTCGTCGGTTAATCTTGCTCTACAGGTGATGTCCAAGAGTCTTATTCGAGGTAGCAGCATCCTCCTTAAAAGGGGAGTCTTGAGACTCGGTGAGGAATTTCCTGGGTAAATAAAAGGGGACATCGGTTGGATGGCAGTCGCACTTCAGACCTTTTTCTGGTCCATGGGAGACCTAGAGTCCTAGACGAATAGAAGAAGCCTACAGGTGCATTGTCATAATCGTCATCGGCCATGGTCCATCCACTGCTGTGGGGTGGAGGATTCCCCAAGCCGTCGTCATTTCTCACAGCGGTCTCGCGAATCGGCAATCCACATCGTTACCTACTATTGCTGCCACTCCATCGTTGGTCTTGACCACTGGCCCGCCGTACCTTCAGGCGTCGGGTCCTGCCCAAGTCCACTCACTCACTCTCTCCGTGTTTGTTTACAGTTGATGTGGTGTCCTCCCAACTTGTGCGTTCTTCAAGACACACGTTGTTCTTCCCGTCTCTCGCTGTAATTCCCAGCATGCACTTCTCAACGCATCTCTGTGCACTTTTCAGATTTTGTTCCGGTTATTTTTGTTGTCGGGCATGCAAAGGAAGAAAAAAACATGAATGTGGGAGGAAAAATATATAAAAATGATAAAATCTACAAATATTTAATATATTAACTTGATTACAAAATAAAGGTTTATTATTTAAAAGCAGTGGCTCAGGAGTGTGATCCAGTGCTTTATTGGCAAGAGTTGGTCGATCACCTAGGGCTTTGTGAAGCTACCGATCCCATTGGGGCTGGGATTTGGCCAGGAGGTGGCTGTAAGGTCGTTGGGTTTGTGAACCATTTCGTGCGTATCTCGGCATGTTATTCCCTCATAAGGTCGGTGGGTTTGTGAACCATTTCGTGCGTATCTCGGCATGTTATTCCGTCATAAGGTCGGTGGGTTTGTGAACCATTTCGTGCGGATCTCGGCATGTTATTCCCTCATAAGATCGGTGGGTTTGTGAACCAATTCGTGCGTATCTCGGCATGTTATTCCGTCATAAGGTCGGTGGGTTTGTGAACCAATTCGTGCGTATCTCGGCATGTTAATCCGTCATAAGGTCGGTGGGTTTGTGAACCAATTCGTGCGAATCTCGGCATGTTATTCCGTCATAAGGTCGGTGGGTTTGTGAACCAATTCCTGCCTATCTCGCCATGTTATTCCGTCATAAGGTCGGTGGGTTTGTGAACCAATTCGTGCGTATCTCGGCATGTTATTCCATCATAAGGTTGGTGGGTATTCTCCGGGTTCTTCTCTTTTCCTCCCACACGATGCTAAACGCTCCTTAAAGCGGAATTGGCCAAACATCCCAATGTAGCAGGACTCTCCTGAAAAAGAGCCTTGTGATTCAGTGAGGCTTTTCTATGGTAAGTAAATGGCCTGTATTATTTAATGAGCACAAAAGTGTAATTTCTGAAAGTAAAGATGAAAAAAATTGAATAGTTCTTCAGACAAAGTAGGTTGATTAAAATGTTTTTTTTTAGATTATAGTTCATTGGCCAACTACTGCTGGATTAAAGCCTCCCCATCCTGTCAGTCATGGTGGTTGTTTGCCCATACTTCACCACGCTGGTCAGCGTGGGATGGCGAAGGTGGTAGTGGCTCAGGACCCGTTCAGATTTGACGTGGTACTGAAATTAGTCGTGGCCAGGAATCGAACTCAGGGTTCTTAGCACAGTGCACTAACTACTGCACTACCACCAGTCAAAGTGGCAAAAAATGGTTGAATGTTTACATTTGTACAGCTTAAGTTAAGCAACGAAAACATTTTTGGACCAACATTTGCCGTGGGCTTTTTGGAAGACATTTTTTTTAATCGCTGTTCAATGAATGGAATGTGTGACTTTAAATAAAAAAAACTCTGGGAATGAAGGGACAGATATTTTGCTATGTTAAACCGTGCCAATGTTTACATGCTCGCATAAAAAAATAAAGGTGTCAAAGTCTTAACCCATTCACCGTCTCAGCAGTGTACTTATGCTTAATTTTGACACTTATTTAACTTGTTCTGTTGTCTATTTATATTCTTTCAAATATTTGACGAGTATGGATTCCTGCAGTTACGAAAGCTTCAAATCAAGATTAAAATTAAAATATGTAAGAATTTGGTACAAAATTAGTTTAACAATGCACACACTTTTATTTGCACTCAAAAGTAGAAAAACACTATTTTGACCCCAGAATTAATAAAATTTGATGTGCATCCAGCAGTGAATTGAGCATGGCTGATGATGATGATGGCTTCATGGGGAGGCCTTCATCCAGCAGTGAACTGCCCATGGCTGATGATGATGGCTTCATGGGGAGGCCTTCATCCAGCAGTGAATTGAGCATGGCTGATGATGATGGCTTCATGGGGAGGCCCTTCATCCAGCAGTGAATTGAGCATGGCTGATGATGATGGCTTCATGGGAAGGCCCTTCATCCAGCAGTGAATTGAGCATGGCTGATGATGATGGCTTCATGGGGAGGCCCTTCATCCAGCAGTGGATTGAGCATGGCTGATGATGATGATAGCTTCATGGGGAGGCCTTCGACCAGCAGTGAATTGAGCATGGCTGATTATGATGGCTTCATGGGGAGGCCCTTCATCCAGCAGTGAATTGAGCATGGCTGATGATGATGGCTTCATGGGGAGGCCTTCATCCAGCAGTGGATTGAGCATGGCTGATGATGATGGCTTCATGGGGAGGCCTTCATCCAGCAGTGAATTGAGCATGGCTGATGATGATGGCTTCATGGGGAGGCCCTTCATCCAGCAGTGAATTGAGCATGGCTGATGATGATGGCTTCATGGGGAGGCCCTTCATCCAGCAGTGAATTGAGCATGGCTGCTGATGATGATGGCTTCATGGGGAGGATTAAGGATCCTGTTTACATTTTTGGTAAATTTCCTACGGACAAGATTCGGAAGATACATTCCCACTAAGTGGTAATTATTGTATGAATTCGTTTTTATTGTTAAAGCTGAATTGTTATTAAATCGGGTTCGTTGGTTTTGGTTAACATTTAACGTAATGATGATGATATTGCTGTTGCTGATTGCGCTGCTGACGATAATAAAAAAAATATATGTTTGCTGCTGATGATGATTATATTATTGCTGTTGATGATGATTACGAATTTAATTATTAAGATAATTGAACTAACGATGCCGCTGATGAAGGCGACTCTAAAAGCATTTCACGCTCGCCTCAAAGTTTATAATCATCACGAGTGGAAAAAAAAATTAAGCCGCTGTGTATTTTAACAAATTCACAGCAAAGCCACCTGAGGGCATTATGTGTGAGTTTAGCACCTCTAATTGACACGGCCAACAGAGACTTCCAATCCGTTAGCCCGAGGGGCAATATTGGGAATTTGCTTGCGAGTATAAACATCGTTCGAGACGAAGCCGTTGCCTCAGAGTAATAATCTTCTTTATCAGATGAGATGCACCGAAGTTTCGTTGAACTCTGAGGTAAAACAAAAAAAAGCAACAACAACAAAAACTCCCGCCAAAATTATAAGCCGTTGGATAATTTCCGGTGAGTGACCAAATATGTTTCGTATTTGTATTTAATTTGATATATTTATAAAAAAACATATTTAACATGTGTCAATGATAGTTGTACAGTTCTCTGACGTGTTCACGGATTGTGCCGCGTGTTTCGTTGAGGCTGTCCAAAACCGAATGGAGTTCCTGCAGGAGTGGAGCGAAACGTCGGACAACGTGCAGATCAACCGCGCGGTTTACGTAACGGCACAACCTAGGCCCCGTAGAGTTCACGCTACATCGCTCTCGCTCCACTGCTAGATGAAGTCAGCCTCGTCCGCCGTCGTGTGCGAGAGGGGTTTATTTAAACTGTAGCCATACTTCACCACTGCTGGTCAACACTCCTCGCCTCTGAATAATAATCATCATCATCGTCGTCTCTCTCTCTCTCTCTTTGAGAGGGTATGCAACCTCCTGGTATTACAGTTCATACATTTGTATGGTTATTATTTTTATTGTAATATGACGATATATTTGGTTTTCGTTGCTAAAACCGCAGGTGTTAAACCCAACAGGTTTCAGAGAATGTGCTGCTCGCTAACGCATTGCGTAGGTTATGATTCTTAAATAGTTAACCGCGCACATTGGAGCTTGAAATAGGGTAAACGATGTACGAGTGAAATGCATTCATTTTTATCACATTTGTTTTGTTGTGTTTGTTATTACGTTCGCTGAGGACCCCGGCCCAAAGTAACGAGCGGCCAGTAACAAGCGGCACTCTTGAACGTCTCCCCTGTGAACTGAGCGAGGTTATCGACGATCGGAGCTGAGGGTAATGGACGAGGCGATTGGGATGGGGATTCCACAGTGGAGGCGAACATGCAGAAATAGCGTGGTGGTGAGTGGGTGGGTGGGTGAGTTGGTGGGTGGGTGGGTGAGTGAGTGGGTGAGTTGGTGGGTGGGTGGGTGAGTGAGTGGGTGAGTTGGTGGGTGAGTGGGTGGGTGAGTGAGTTGGTGGGTGAGTGGGTGAGTGAGTGAGTTGGTGGGTGGGTGGGTGAGTGAGTGGGTGAGTGGTTGAGTGAGTGGGTGAGTTGGTGGGTGAGTGGGTGGGTGAGTGGGTGGGTGGGTGAGTTGGTGGGTGGGTGAGTTGGTGGGTGAGTGAGTGGGTGGGTGGGTGGGTGAGTGAGTGGGTGAGTTGGTGGGTGAGTGGGTGGGTGAGTGAGTTGGTGGGTGAGTGAGTGAGTGGGTGGGTGGGTGAGTGAGTGAGTGGGTGGGTGAGTGGGTGAGTGAGTGAGTTGGTGGGTGGGTGAGTGAGTGGGTGGGTGGGTGAGTTGTTGGGTGGGTGAGTTGGTGGGTGAGTGAGTGGGTGGGTGGGTGGGTGAGTGAGTGGGTGAGTTGGTGGGTGAGTGGGTGGGTGAGTGAGTTGGTGGGTGGGTGGGTGAGTGGGTGGGTGGGTGAGTGGGTGAGTGGGTGAGTGGGTGAGTGGGTGAGTTGGTGGGTGGGTGAGTGAGTGGGTGGGTGGGTGAGTGAGTGGGTGAGTTGGTGGGTGAGTGGGTGGGTGAGTGAGTTGGTGGGTGGGTGGGTGAGTGAGTGAGTGGGTGGGTGAGTGGAGTGAGTAAGTGGAGTGGGTGGGTGAGCGAGTGAGTGAGTGGGTGGGTGAGTGAGTGAGTGGGTGGGTGAGTGAGTGAGTGGGTGAGTGAGTGAGTGGGTGAGTGAGTGGGTGAGTGAGTGAGTGAGTGGGTGAGTGAGTGAGTGGGTGAGTGAGTGAGTGTGAGAGTGGTTGGTGAGTGTGTGTGGTTGGTGGTGGTTGTGGCGAACAACAGGTAGCGCGCTGCACTACGAACCCGGCGACCCCCCCAAGTTCAATTCCTCGCTCATGGCCAACACCAGAAAAACAGTCTGACACGGCGACAGTGAGAAAGACACAGAGATAAAGAGGAAGACGGAGTGAGACACTCATGAAGGTACACACAGAGACAGACAGAGTCACAGCAAGAGAGATGGAGATCGACGGACACGGTGACATGGAGAGAGAGACACGCGCAGAGTCAAGGAAGCTGTCACAGAGACAGAAAAACGAGAAATACGGAGTGCGAGAGACGCATTGTCAGAGAGAGAATCAGACGTAAATACAACAAAAATAATCCTAGGGCATGGAGAGGTATCCAGAGAATGAAACAGATCCACAGAGAGATAGAGAGACGCACAGGGAATGTCTTACTTATTATTGTGGTGAGACATATATGTTTATTTATGTGTGTATTACATTGTGTATTATTTAATTGCACTTCGGAGTAGATTCCATCACGTGACAGTATGTGCGAGCCTCTAACTTGGTCGACTGGAAAAACTCGTACCATCACCATAATCGTCGTCATCATAACCAGCCATGGTCTGTCGACTGCTGGCTGAAGGTTTCCCCAAGCCGTAGCCATCCTTCACGATCCCGTGACGCCAACAATCCGTCTGGCTTCAGCGCACGGGGTCATCCCATCGCCCCATCTCCGCGGGGAATGTCCACTCGGACGCGTTCGCTCCTTTGGCTGCCACTCCAACATTAGCCTCGACCCGAGCCATCACCAACCTTCTCTGGCGATGTGGTCTGCACAATCTCGCGGATTTTTTTTTTTACTTACAGGCAATAAGTCACCATTGGAACCTCCTTTGCCAGTAGCAAAATATGATTTTAAAAAATGTTTTACCCTTTTATCTGGCAACAAAACTGACACCTTTTTTTGTTGTTGCCAGATAAAAGAGTAAAAAACCAATTCTCATATTTTGCTACTGGGAAAGGAGGTTCCAATGGTGTAAATGCTGAACCCCGAGCTCACATACTCTGATGGTGCAGTGTCTTTGAGTTGTACGCCTCTTGGCGTTATCTGGTCCAACACCAACGTGAGACTAGGCTCTAAGGAAAGCTGTCTCGGATGTGGCCCAATGAATTTCAAGGGACAGTGCCAATACATTATCAGAGTTGTGTTTTTTGTTTGCATTCCTTGTAAATAAAAGGTGTTGGACCAGATGACGCCAAGAGGCGCACAACTCAAAGACACTGCACCATCAGAGTATGAGAGCTTGGGCTAAGCATTTACACCATTGGAACTTCCTTTGCCAGTAGCAAAGTATGATAATTGTTTTTTTACCCTTTTATCTGGCAGCAAAAAAAAGGTGTCAGTTTTGTTGCCAGATTAAAGGGTAAAAAAAAACAATGATCATATTAGGCAATAAGCCTTCAATGTGCGTGTTTACTCCGGTCTGTGGAGTAAACGCGCACGTTGTTTAAATAGGCTGAATGTCACGACGTTTCGGCCGCGCACACAAGCGTCCATGCGCTTTTCCACCTCATGACGGACGCTTAGTGTTGCGCCCGAAATGTCGTGATTTATTTTATTTTCTACCTACGTGACTTTACCGAAAGAACCAAAGAGTGTGGATTCCTGCAGTCACGAAAGCTTCAAATCAAAACTAGGCTGGAATGT